AAAAAGAAAGATTATAAAATTAGAACAATAAAAACCGAAACGAAAAATTAATGAATCGAAAAACTGGAAACTTAAAAATTGAAAACTTAAACAAATTAAAATTAAAAAAACAAATTAAAATCGAACTGAAAAATAGAATAGTTGAAAAAATAAAGAAAATAAGAAAGTAAAACCAAAAAGTGCGATTCGAAAAACTCAAAAATTAAAAACTGGAAATTCCAGAAAATCAGATCGAAAATTTCCAAAATATGAAAATTGAAAAATTCAAGTGTTGGAAAATCGGAAAATTGAAAAGTTTTAAAATGAAAACTCCAAGAGCTGCATCTCGTAAAATTGAAGAAACAAAAAAAAATGAAAAACGGAGAATCGAAAAATTGAAGAAACGAAAAATTGAAAAATCAAAATAAAAAGAAATGAAAAATTGAAGAATCGAAAAATTTAAAAATTAAAAAACTGAAAAGTCGAATAAATGACAAATGGAAAAAATTAAAAGTAGTAAAATTGAAAAGTGATTTTTTTTTAAATTATGACAAGTTTTATATATTAAAAATAAAAACAAGAGAAATTGCAAATCAAAACCTGAAGAAACGAAAGAATGAAAAATCTGAAAATTAAAAAACTGAAAAATTGAAAATCTAAGAATTGAAGTTTCACACTGAAAAAAATTAAAATTAAAAGTCAGAACAACGAAAAATCGAAAAGAAAAACTGCAAATCGAAAATTTAAAGAAACGAAAAATTAATGAATCCAAAAAATGAAAAACTTAAAAACTGAAACTCGAGAAATTTTAAACCGAAAAATTGCAAAATGCAAAAATTGAAGAAACAAGAGAGATGAAAAATAAAACAAATTAGAATTGAAAATACAAAAAATTATTAATTCGAAACACTGAAAAATAGAATAATTGAAAAAATAAAGAAAATAAAAAACCGAAACCAAAAAGTGCCAAACCAAATCGAAAAATAAAAACTGGAAAAAATGAAAACTCCAAGAGTCGTAAGGCTGGAGAGACAACAAAAATGAATAATTGAAAAATTGAGAATCGGGAAACTGAAAAAACGAAAATTTGAAGAAATGAAAAACTGAAGAATTAAATATTATTGCATATTCAAAATAAAAACTAGAAAAATTGCAGATCAAATACTAAAGAAACGAATAATTGAAAAATCTAAAAATTAAAAAATCAAAAAATTGAAAACTCAAAAACTGACAATCGAAAAATTGAAAAATTTCACACTGAAGAAAAGAAAAATTATCAAATCAGAACATTGAAAATCCGAAAAGAAAAATTCCAAATCGAAAATTTAAAGAAACGAAAGATTAATGAATCGACAAACTGAAAAACTTAAAAACTGAAAACTCGAGAAATTTTAAACCGAAAAATTGCAAAATGCCAAAATTGAAACAAGAAATATAAAAAATGAAACAAATTAAAATTGAAAAAACAAAAAATTATTAATTCGAAACACTGAAAAATAGAATCATTGAAAAAATAAAGAAAATAAAAAACCGAAACCAAAAAGTGCGAAACCAACTCGAAAAATAAAAACTGGAAATTCCAGAAACTCAGATCGAAAAATTTCAAAATCTAAAAACTGAATAATTCAAAAGTTGGAAAATCGAAAAATGGAAAATTTTTAAAAGCTGAAGAGACAAAAAAAATAATAATTGAAAAATTGAGAATCGGGGAACTGAACAAAATTGAGAATCGGGGAACTGAACAAACGAAAAATTGCAAATCAAAAACTTGAAGAAATGAAAAACTTAAAAATCGAAAAATTGAAAAATTAAAATCGAAAAACTGAAAAGTCGAATAAATGAAAAAAAATTAAAATTCAGTGATTGAAAAATGGAAAAAGTCGAAAGTCGTAAAATTGAAAAAGTGGAAAATTTGAAAAATTATCACTATTATTACGTATTTAAAATAAAAACTAGAAAAATTGCAGGTCAAATGCTGAAGAAACGAATCATTGAAAAATCTAAAAATTAAAAAACAAAAAAATCGAAAACTGAAAAACTGAAAATAGAAAAATTGAAAAATTGAAAAATTGAAAAATTTCACACTGAAGAAAAGAAAAATTATCAAATCAGAACATTGAAAATCCGAAAAGAAAAATTCCAAATCGAAAACTTAAAGAAACGAAAGATTAATGAATCGAAAAACTGAAAAACTTAAAAACTGAAAACTCGAGAAATTTTAAACCGAAAAATTGCAAAATGCAAAAATTTGAAACAAGAAATATAAAAAATGTAACAAACTAAAATTGAAAAAACAAAAAATTATTAATTCGAAACACAGAAAAATAGAATAATTGAAAAAATTAAGAAAATAAAAAACCGAAACCAAAAAGTGCGAAACCAACTGGAAAAATAAAAACTGGAAATTCCAGAAACTCAGATCGAAAAATTTCAAAATCTAAAAATTGAATAATTGAAAAGTTGGAAAATTGAAAAACGGAAAAATTTTAAAAGCTGAAGAGAATCGGGGAACTGAACAAACGAAAAATTGCAAATCAAAAACTTGAAGAAATGAAAAGCTTAAGAATCGAAAAATTGAAAAATTAAAATCAAAAAACTGAAAAGTCGAATAAATGAAAAAAAATTAAAATTCAGTGGTTGAGAAATGGAAAAAATCAAAAGTCGTAAAATTGAAAAAGTGGAAAATTTTAAAAATTATCACTATTATTGCATATTCAAAATAAAAACTAGAAAAACTGCAGATCAAATACTAAACAAACGAATAATTGAAAAATGTAAAAATTAAAAAACCAAAAAATTGAAAACTGAAAAACTGAAAATCGTAAAATTGAACAACTGAAAAGTTTCACACTGAAGAAAAGAAAAATTATCAAATCAGAGCATTGAAAATCCGAAAAGAAAAATTCCAAATCGAAAATTTAAAGAAACGAAAGATTAATGAATCGAAAATCTGAAAACTCAAGAAATTTTAAATCAAAAAATTGCAAAATCAAAAATTGAAGAAATAAAAATGAAAAATTAAGAAATTAAAATTGAAAAAACAAAAAATTATAAAATCGAAACACTAAAAAATACAATAATTGAAAAAATAAAGAAAATAAAAGCCGAAACCAAAAATTGCGAATCGAAAAACTCAAAAACTAAAAACTGGAAATTCCAGAAACTCAAATCTAAAAAAAAATCATACGTTCGAAAATCGGAAAACTGAAAAATTTTAAAATGAAAACTCCAAGAATTGTATGTCGTAAAACTGAAGAAACAAAAAAATGCAAAACTGAAAAATCGAAAAATTGAAAAATTAAAATCGAAAACCCGGAAAATCCAATAAATGAAAAAATTTCAAAATTCAATAATTGAAGAATAGAAAAAATCTGAAGTCTCAAAATTGAAAATGTGAAAATTTTAAATATTATTACTATTATTACATGTTTAAAAATAAAAAATCGAAAAATTGCAAATCACTAACTGAAGAAATTTCACAAGAAACAGAACATTGAAAAACCGAAAAGAAAAACTGCAAATCGAGAATGTGAAGAATCGGAAAATTAGTGAATCGAAAAACTAAAAAACTTAAAAATTGAAAACTCGAGTAATTTTAATTCGAAAAATTGCAAAATCTAAAAATTGAAGAAATAAGAAATATGAAAAATTGAACAAATCAAAATTGAAAAAACAAAAAATGATAAAATCGAAACACTGAAAAAATAAATAAAATAAAAAAAAATGCCAATCAAAAACCTGAAAAGTTAAAAACTGGAAACTCGAGAAACTCAAATCGGAAAATTCCAAAACCTAAAAATTGAAAAATTCAAAAGTAGGAAAATCGGAAAACCGAAAAATTTTAAAATGAAAATTCCAAGAGTTGCATGTCGTAAAATTGGAGAAACAATTGAAAAATTGAGATTCGAAAAATTCAAGAAACGAAAAATTGCAAATCGAAAATTTGAAGAAATGAAAAAATACAAAACGAAAATTTGAAGAAATGAAAAACTGAAGAATTGAAAACTCGAAAAATTTTAAATCGAAAAATTGCAAAATCTAAAAATTGAAAAAACAAAACATATGAAAAATCAAAAAAATTAAAATTAAAAAAAACAAAAAATTATAAAATCGAAGCACCGATAAATGGAATAATTGAAAAAATAAAGAAAATAAAAAACCGAAACCAAAAAATGCGAAAAACCCACAAATTAAAAACTGGAAACTCGAGAAACTCAAATCGAAAAATTCCAAAATCTAAAAATTGAAAAATTCAAAACTTGAAAAATCGAAAAACTGAAAAAATTTTAAATGAAAACTCTAAGATTTACATGTCGTAGAATTGAAGAAACAAAAAAAAATGAAAAATTGAGTAACTGAAAATCGAAAAATTGAAGAAACGAAAAATTGCAGAAATGAAAAACGGAAAAATCGAAAAACTGAAATCTTAGCAATTGAAAACTCGTTTCGTTGGGCTACGCTTCAGAGACCAGGGAAGTTCCGTCGAAATAATCTTCGACCAATTTTTTCAGTTGCCTTCAAAATCCATACATAGTGTTGAGCGGTTAAGAAACACCCATGACCTTTGGATTTAATTAAGTGTAGAAACGAAAATAACTTTCCATGAATTACTTGAATTAAACTACGACATTATTGTTTTTGCAGACACTTCTTAAATCTGTAAATAATATGACCAAGGTTAACTTTGTAACAGCAGTGTAATCTTGGAATATACTAAGTCCTGTTTCCCTGTGGTATTTTCCCATTCTGCACATTCTTCCTGGTCCATATGTACATTTTCCGCGATGATACATCTAACTAAATGTGTGATTAAACTAAAATACGCCCTAAATGTTCCAAACGAGTAAAGTTGCGAGAAATGTTTGAATCGAGCTCTTAGAACTCATTCCACTTTATAAAGTATTAAATGCTCCCTACGTTATTTCAAAAATATTCTGTGCCACATAATTTGACCAAACTCCGGCGAAAACAATGACCAGTGTACGCTTCAAGGTTCTATCTTAAAAAAAAAACTCACAAACTTCAATCTTACATTTATTAAAAACTTCGTATACACCATAAATAACACACCTCTCCACCACAAGACTAATCAGAAAACCTGATATCAATTTCCGGCGAGCTCTCATCCGTCGTTGTGGTCCTCCGTGTCGTAACATCCGGCCTCCTTAGCAACCGATTATTATCGCAAATCCGGCAGTAGTACTCCACATCTAAGGTAGCCGGGGCCGCCGTGCTGCTCCTCCACCTCTCCACATCCCTCCCGTGACACATATCATGCCTGTGATCATTGCAGTCGTTCCCGGAATTCGGGGGCGGCCCAAACGGCGGCGGCCCTCCCTGCGGGAAACCCGGGTACGGCTGCCTGGGTCCGCCGCCCCACGGATTAAACCCATGCGGATGATGGTGGTGATGGTTGGGGAAATTGTGGCCGTGGTGGTGGCCGAAGCCGCCCCCGAAGCGCGGCGCCACCGGGTCGAACTCCTCGGTTTCGTCGACGTTGTCTTGCGATTTTTCGGTGGTGGTGGCGTCCTGGGCGTCGCGACGGAAGCGGTGGCGGCGGAACCGCTTCTTGAAGTACACTGGAAAAAAACATGTGGTAGTTTGATTTTGTCGGGGAGATGTTTCGTAGGTGCTTGGAAACCCTATTAGCGTTCCGTCAATCAAAGCCTAAGTTTAATTACGCGTCTCGAGTAAATCGAAATTTATAAAGTCATTTGCGTAATGAACTTTATTCCTTCGGATTTATCAGTCCGGACACATTTGGTATTTCCGTGTCTGATTAATACAGAGCGGTTTGGAATAATGGATGTACCTGAAACGTGTACTCGGTAATGGATCTTGGTGAACGGTAATGAGTTTCTGATAGCTTAAAAGCAAACAGTGGAATTTGGGCATTGTTCAATGTCGGGGTATTGATTTTTAGAAGGAAGTAGTTTTGTGCTAAATTAAAAAAATTGAAAAAAATTCGACGAAGGTTATTTTGACTGAACTTGCCTGGCTCCTGAAGTGTGCCCAACAAATCCCGTTTCTTTGAAAAATTATACAAATTTTTGCAATTTTTGTTTTCTGATCATCTCTACAAAGTGAAAATCTAAAATTAAAAAAGTCAGGATATTAAAACATGGAAAAAATACCAAAAAATCGGAAAGTCGAAAAATTTTAAAAGTCGAAAAATCTAGATATCCAAAAACCGAGATGTCGACTAGTCGAAAATTCTAAAACTCGAAAAATTGATGTATTAAAAAATATTAAAACACCATAAAATCAAAAATGAAAAAATCAAAAAACCTAAAATTTAAACAATCAAAAAACTGAAGAATTAAAAAACCGAAAAATTCCAAGACTAAAATCAAAACTTTTTAAAATCGTACAATCGAAATCCAAAAAGTCAAAATATCGAAGAAACGAGCAATCGAAACATCAAAAAATCCAAAAATCTAAAATTTAAAAAATCGAAATTATTAAAGTATGGAAAAATTGAAAAATACAGAAAGTGAAAAATTCCCAGAACTGAAATGCCAAAAGACTGAGAAATTGAAAATTTGAAAAACAGAAAAATCGGAAAGCCGAAAAATTTTTTAAATCGAAAAGCCTAGATTTAGAAAAACCGTCGATATCGAGAAATCGAAAATTCTAAAACGCGATGAATTGATATATTAAAAAAATCTAAAACTATCAAAAACTCGTAAAATCAAAAATGAAAAAATCGACAATCTAAAATTTAAAATATTGAAAAATTGAACAATCAAAAAACTGAAAAATCAAGAAATTGGAAAACCCCAAAACTGAAAAGTCGAAAAATTCGGAAATCGAGAAGTCGTAAAATCGAAAAATTGGAAACTGAGAAATGTTAAATGAAAGAAAAAAATTGAAAAATTAGGAAATTAAACAACAAAAAAAATCGAAACATCGAAATCTCGATAAATTGTAAAATCGAAAAATTGAAAAACTGAAAAATCGAAAAATTAAAAACCGAAAAATCGAAAAAAACTGCAATTTTAAGAAGCGATAAACTGAAAAACCGAAAAATCTAAAATCGAGAAGTCAAAAAATTGAAAAATTGAAGACCTGAAAGACTGAAAAATTGAAAAATCGAAAAATTGAGAAACCGAAAACTCAAATAAACGATTAATCGAGAAATTGAAAAATCGAAAAATTTTAAATCTAAAAAAAATCGAAAAAGTGAAAAATCAGTAAATTAAACAATCGAAAGATGAAAAAATTGAACAATTGAAACATCCAGAAATCGTAAAAACTGAAAAATTTTAAATCCAAAAAAAATCGAAAAAGTGAAAAATCGGGAAATTAAACAATCGAAAAATCAAAACATCGAAATATCGATAAATCGTGAAATCGAAAAATTGAAAAAGTGAAAACTCCAAAAAATTTAAAAACCGAAAATTCAAACAAACTGCAATTTTAAAAATCGAAAATCTGAAAAACCGTGAAATCTAAAACCGAGAAGTCGAAAAATCGAGAAAATGAACTGAAAAACTGAAAAATCGAAAAATCAAGAAAACTAAACACTGTAAATTCGAGAAGCGGAGAAATGAAAAAATCGAGAAGCCGAAAAATTGAGAAATCTAAAAGTCAAAATAGTAATTAATCGAGAAATTACTGAGAAATTGAAGAATAGAAAAAACAGAAAAATCCCAAAACTAAAACATCGAAAAATTGAGAAATCGAAAGCTGAAAAATCGCAAAATTGGAAAATCGGAAAACCGAAAATTCTAAAACTCGAAAAATTAATATATGTGTTATTAAAAAAACTAAAAATATCAAAAAATCGTAAAATCACAAATGAGAAAATCGAAAAACCTAAAATTTCAAAAATCGAAAAATTGAAGAATCAAAAAACTGAAAAGTCAAGAAATTGAGAAATCCCAACACTGAAATGTCGAAACATTGGAAAATCGAAAAACTGAAAAATCGAAAAACCGAGAATTCGAAAATCGAGAAATCGAACCACGAAAAATTGAAAAATTGAAACATCGAGAAATCAAAACATCCAGAAATCCAAAAAATCGAAAAATTAAAAAGTGAACAATCTTAAATGTAAAAAAAATTGAGAAATCGGAAAATAAACAACAAAAAAGTCGAAACATCAAAATCTCGATAAATTGTGAAATCGAACAATTGAAAAACTAAAAAATTGAAAAAACTGCAATTTTAAAAATCGAAAAACTGAAAAATCGAAATATCTAAAATTAAAGAGTCGAAAAATAGAAAAATTGAAGAACTGAAAATTTGAAAAATCGAGAAATCGGGAAAAAGAAACATTGGAAATTAGAGAAACGGAAAAATAAAAAAATTGAGTAATCGAGAAATGGACAAATAGAAAAATTAAAGTACCAAATAAACTAAAAAATCCTACAATTGAAATATCGAAAGTTAAAAAGTCGAGAAATCGAAAGGTCAAAAAACCGTTAAATCGAAAATTCTAAAACTTGAAATATTGATATATTTAAAAATTCAAAAATTTGGTAATCGGAATGTCAAAAAATCGTGAAATCAAAAGTGGAAATATCGAAAAATCTAAAATTAAAAAATCGAGAAATTGAAGAATCAAAAAACTGAAAAATTAAAAAATTTAAAAATCCCATTACAGAAATGTCGGAAAATTGGAAATTGGAAAAATTGAAGAATCGAAACATTGAAAAATTGGAAAATCGAAAAATCACTAAGCTGAAAAATCGAAAAACCGAAAATTCGAAAATCGAGAAATCGAAACATCAAAAATCAATACATCAAAATATAAAGAAATCGAAAAATCGAGAAATTAAAAACTGAAAAATGTAAAAAGTAAAAAAATCGGACAGTTAAACAATCGAAAAATCTAAAAACAGACAAATCGAAAAAACTGCAATTTTAAAGAACTGAAAAGCCGAAAATTCGAAAAATCGAGAAGTCGAGGAAACGAAACCTTGAAAATTCAAGAAACGGGAAAACTAAAAAAATCGAAAAGTCAAAAAATTCTGCGATCGAAGTCAAAAATTCGATAATCGAGAAATTGAGAAATGGAAAAATTGAAAAATCGAAAAATTGAAATATCAAATTAACTGAAAAATACCAAAACTGAAATGTCGAAAAACTAAAAAATGGAAACACTAAAAAATTGGAAAATTGAAAAATCGAAAAATTAAAACATCAAGAAATCGAAACATGAATATATCGAGAAATCTAATAACTGAAATTCGAGAAGTAGAAAAATCGAAACACAGAAATTTCGTAAATTTGTTAAATAGAAAAAGTGAAAATTCGAAAAACTGAAAATTTTAAAACGGAAAAATAAAAAAAAAACTGGAGAATTGAAACAGGGAAAAATTGAAAAGAAGTCGATAAACCGAAACAAAATAGCAAAATCGAAAAGTCAAAAAATCGATTAATTGAGAAGTCTAGAAACTGAAAAATCGAAAAACTGAAAAATTTGCAAAACTGAAAACTGAAATGTGGAAAAATTGAATACGTAATCGAAAAATTGAAGTTCGAGAAATTGAAAAACTGAAAAAGCGAATGTAAATTCCCCAAAAAATCTTAAAATCGAAAAATTAAAAAATCAAAGATCTGAAAAATTATAAAAACTAAAAAATCCAGAAAGAAAAATATAAAATTCGAAAAATCGAAAAATTGAAGAATCAAAAAAACTGAAAAGTCCCAAAACTGAAAAAATCGTAAAATTTGAAATTTGAAAAATCGAAAAATTAAAGAAAAAAACTGAAAAATCAGAAAATTGGGAAATCGAAACAAGGAAAAATTAGAAAATCGAAACATCTAAAAATTAAAACGTAAAAAAATCCAAAAACTGAAAAAATGGAAAATCAAAAAATGGGAATTTCAACAATCGAAAAATCGAAGCATCGAAATTTCGAAAATTTGTGAAATTGAAAAATGGAAAAATTTTAAAATCGAAAAATGTAAAACCGAGAAGTCGAAAAATTGAACAACTGAAAAACTGAAGAATCGAAAAATAGGGAAGTCGATAATCGAAACATTAAAGTCGAGAAATGAGAAAATAAAAAAATCGAAAAACCGAAAAATTGAAGTAGAAAAGACAAAAAATCGATTAATTGAGAAAGTGAAAAATCTAGAAATCGAAAAATCGACAAATTGAAAAATCGCAAAACTGAAATGTCGAAAAATTCAGTTGGTATTCGAAAAATGAAAAATCGAGACATTGAAAAATTCAACAATCAAAAAAACCGAAAAATTACAAAACTGAAAAATTGAGACATCGAAAAGTCAAAAAATCGATTAATCGAGAAATTGGGAAAAATCGGAAAATTTAAAATCGCAAAACTGAAATTTCGAGAAATTTAATGGGTAATCGAAAAATTGAAAATTGAGAAATTGAAAAATTGAAAAATTAAAAAACTAAACTAAACTCCATATCTAAGATAAAAATTCAACATAGATTCATGAACCACAAGTTTAGGACTATGTTACTTTTTAACATTTAAATGACATTTATTCGGAAAAATTGCAATGCTTTCGATAACCTAAAACGTTTACAAGATTTCAATTCACTCGATTCTGCAATTTCAAACATAAACATCGAGAAAACATGATAGTATTATCTATAGTCGTTCAATGGACTCCATTACTTAGCTGACGCTCAAGAAATAAAAGACTACTCTTCAAAAATCCATCGCTGCCTTCAATCATGTTTTTATCGCCAAAAATAAAATCGAAAAACCAGCAGTCGTGCTCTTTTTTACACAAACGTTTTAACAAAATGGAATTCCCTATCAATCACCTCCGCTAAAACTATGACCGGTTACATAATCGCAAAAATTTAAACCGAAACCCATTAAATCAGATAACGTAATTATTACTAAAAACACGCCACATGCAGGATACAGCATGCAGCAACCAAGTAACCAATCAACTGCGTTTAGTTTTAACAATGATTGACAAACATCGATTATAACCAAAATCCAATCCCACTTCTAAAGCGCCGTATTTAATCCGATTTTAATGCAGACCGGAATTTTATCAGGATAATTTAAGCTTCCTGAAAGACGTGGAAAACAAAGCCTGTGACGCGAATTAGATTTTACAGAAAAGTACTGAATAAGAATGAGCGAATTTTGCTGTGTACTGTGAGATTTCGAAAATGGAAATTTCGGTGTGTTATTTTTAAACTACTCGAACAATTAATCGTTTTACGTCATACGAGTTTTCTGGTTTTGTTGTTTTTATGGAAAATAACAATGAACAGTAAGCTGATCATTCGCGGCGGTTAATAAAGCGGGAAACATATAACGAAAATTGACAGTTAAATTGTTTCCTCATTGTTTAACCCTAAGCCGACCACACCGTAACATCCTTAACCCCTCTGTATTTTCAAATACCGCGTTTATTGTTTACTTATTTATTCTTAGTCCACACGACAAATTCTAAAAACGTTACAATTTCTACCTTTTTCCACAATCAGATAGCCTCGAAAACGTCAATATCACAACAATGTCAACAAAAACCCATTGTCATTATTTCGCTTCCATTTCGACCCACAAATTAAACCTCTATGTTACAAAATGCATCATTTTCCGCTCGCTCACACGCTCCCCAATTAAACATAAACTCGCAGTTCCATCCACATCCAAAACATCTTAATTACCAAACACCCACCAATCAATCCACTAACCTCCATTAAAGTAGTAATTCCCGCTCAGCGCCCGATAACCCCCTTTATCTCTAAAGGCGAGTAAATAATTCACGACGTCTCCCTCCTTCAACTTCAGCCTCTGATCATAAATAAAAACTCTATTGTTGTCGATGTCATTTTCACCCAACTCCAGATCGTCTTCATCCTGACCCGCCCGCCTCACTCCGATCCGGAAAGTCACCAATTTCTTGTCCTCGTAATGAGGCACTTCGACCATGAGCTCGTCGGGAGTGAGCACCTGGAATTTCGGCTCCAGGAGGTCCTTGGCACGGGCACATGCAAACAACACGAGGAAGACTGGCAGCAACATATCGCACGGATGTCACGGACCGAGTGAAGTCCATCAAGCAGACTGTTGTTAATATAGCCTCATGTGGAGATAAGAAGATCTCCCGGCGGGAAATCCGAGGCCTTAATTAATAGATCATGTGTGGAAAAGGCGTGAATCACCTAAGAGGTGAGTTTAGAGGTGTAGTGGTGCAGCGGAAGCCTGAGGAGGGTCAAGGCTTCGCTTGCGAAATCCGTCCAACCACTAATTTGTGGCATTGTCGTTATGGGTATTCATGGAATTGCGAAACGTGACTTCGAACAAGATCAAAGCGGGTCAAAAAATAATTAAATTGGATTAGAACTTGGTACGCATAGTGCGTAACCGACGTGTGGTGTGACAAACCGCACACCGTGGTATTCACACTTTAGAATAAACAACACCAAAATATTGTGAAATTTTAAGCTTTTTACAAATGCGACAAATTCGTTACAATAATGTTGGGTGATTTATAGCGCGCATCGTTTGGGTATTAAAATATTCAATAAATTAAGATGTTACGACGGGTTTCTGAGAAGTAAACAAAAATAGTGTACTGCCAGCGTCAGTTTGACCTACCCACGCAGAGAAAGTCAAGTTCACGTTATAGTGTATAGTTGTCGGGTCGTAATTTTCAGAGACAAGACGTCACACTGTTATTACGAATATTGCGTCATAAAAGACCCCATTATTTTATTTCTGTTTTTCTTATAATCGATATCCGATGCTTATACTAGTTTTTTCTCGTGGACTCGTAATTTAAATGTGGTTCGTGTTTTATCGATTCGAATTTGCTTGTCATTTTTCCACTTTATCGCTTTGGTCTTAATCTACATTTATTAGTTTTTATTTTCTTTCTAAAAATTTTTGAAAGATAATTTACATAATTAAAAAAAAGTCATAATTGCTTATTTTTTCCGAACTCTTGAAATTTTCAGCCCGACGTCATACTTTAGTAATCCACTTTCAGGATAAGGGTCATAAAGAATCGTTATATGAACGAGTTTATTTTATCGATTACCTCCGGAATGGCTCATCTAATTTCCCTGATAATTTGGGAAGACTCAACTTTATATTTAGTTTTACAGTGTGCGTGTTACAATCAATATTCACCCTCACGGGATTCCGAGATTTTTTCAAATTACTTCAAAAACAAGACACATAGAGTTTCCGAGATTTTTTTTAATTACTTCAAAAATAAGTGAAGGAATCCCCTAGATTCGTTCAAACTACTTCAGAAACAATAAAAAGAAGGATTCCCGAGATTTTTTCAACTATGTACTTCAAATACCAGGTACAAGGGGTTTCAAAGATTCTTTAAAACTACTTCAAAAACAAAACAAAAGGGACCTCAAAATTATTTCAAACTACTTCAAAAATGAAACAAGGGGGGTTCTACTTCTTCCAAAATACATTAAAAACAAAACACAAGAGATCCTTGAAACTCTTTCAAATTACTTCAAAACACAAGCGATCCCCGAGATTCTACAAAAACTACTTCAAAAACAAAACAAAAGGGCTCACTGAGATTCTTTCAAACCACCTCAAAAACTAGACACAAGGGGTCCCCGAGATTCTTTCAAACTACTTTAAAAACGAAAGAAAATGGAGTCCGTAAGATTCTTTCAAACTACTTCAAAAAGCAGGTATAAGAAGTCCCCGAGATTCATTCAAAGTACATAAAAAACAAAACGCAAGCGATCCCTAAGAGTTTTTCAAACTACTCCAAAACGAAGACCCACGGAATCCCAGAGATTCTACAAAAATACTTCAAAAAGTAGACACAAGGGGTCTCCGAGATTCTTTCGAACTTCTCCAAAAACCAAGTACAAGAGGTCTACGAGATTCTTTCAAAGTACTTCAAAAACGAAACAAAAAAGGGTATTCGAGATTTTTTCAAAGTACATTAAAAATAAAACACAAGACATCCCTGAGACTCTTTCAAACTACTTCAAAACAAAGACACCAGGGGACCCTCGAGATTCTTTCAAACTACTTTAAAAATGAAACAAAAAGGGTCCTCAAATTTTTTTCAAAGTATGTACATCAAAAACAAAACACAAGGGATCCCTGATTGCAAACTACTTCAACGCGAAGACAAAAGGGATCCCCGAGATTCTACAAAAACTACTTCAAAAATAAAAGAAAAAGGATCCCTGAGATTATTTCAAACCACTTCAAAACCTAGACACAAGGGGTCCCCGAGATTCTTTCAAATTACTTTAAAAACGAAAGAAAATGGAGTCCGTAAGATTCTTTCAAACTACTTCAAAAACCAGGTACAAGAAGTCCCCGAGATTCTTTCAAAGTACATGAAAAACAAAACGCCCTAAGGAATCTGTGAGATTTTTTCAAACTACTTCAAAACGAAGACCCAAGCGATCTCCGAGATTCTACAAGAACTACTTCAAAAACTAAAACAAAAGGGGATCCCTGAGTTTACTTCAAACCACTTCAAGAATTAAACACAACTGGTTTCGTAGATTCTTTCAAAATAATTCAAAAACAAAACGCAATGGATCCCCCGAGATTCTTTCAAAGTACTTCAAAAACAAAACACAAGAGATCCCTGAGATTCTTTCAAACTACTTCAACACAAAGACAAAAGAGATTCCAGAGATTCTACAAACACTACTTCAAAGACAAAAGAAAATTAAGTCACTGAAATTCTGTCAAACTACTTCAAAAACTAGACACAAAGGTCTCCGACATTTTTTCAAACCACTCTCAAAACGAAGACCCAAGGGATTCTCGAGATTCTACAAAACTACTTCAAAAATTAAAACAAAAGGGGGTCTCTGAGATTCTTTCAAACCACTTCAAAAACTAGACACGAGGGATGTCCGACATTCTTTCAAACTACTTCAAAAACCAAGTACAAGAGGTCCCCGAGATTCTTTTAAACTACTTCAAAACGAAGGCACAAGGGGTCCCCGAGATTCTTTCAAACTATTTCAGAAACAAAGGAAAAGGGGTCCCCGAGATTATTTCAAACCACTTCGAAAACTAGGCACAAGGGATCTCCGATATTCTTTCAAGCTACTGCAAAAACAAAGCAAAAGAGGTCCTCGAGATTCCACAAAAACTACTTCAAACACTTGACGCAAATGGTCCGTGAGAGAAATTCTTTCAAACTACTTCAAAAACACGATAAGGGATCTCCGAAGTTATTTCACACTACTTCAAAAACAAAACACAACGTATCGCCGAATTTCTACAAAAACTACTTCAAAAATTAAAAACAAAAGGGGGTCTCTGAAATTCTTCCAAACCACTTCAAAAACTAGACACCAGGGGTCTCCGAGATTCTTTCAAACTACTTCAAAAACCAGGCACAAGAAGTCCCCGTGATTCTTTCAAACTGCTTCAATACTGAGTGTTCTGTTTTCAAGGCGTAACACACACAACTTAGTTATTTTTAATGAAACACTCTATATATCTTTAGATATTTTGATTGACACCCACAGGTTATTTTTGCAATTACGATGCTACGTTGCCACCTTATTGCAATTTTCTTGAAATATTTTAATAATGGAAGGATTAACAAAAAAATCATAGTAGAGTTATTTTTTAAATCTATGGTAGAACATTTTGTGGAGAGTTAAAGAAAAGTACTCGGTTTGTTGTGGTATAAATAAGATTAAATTTTCGTATACAGAGTGTGTATAAAAAATGTTTTATTTATTACTGGTTCTTATTCTAGTTTTTGTTCTTTTCTTTTTTGCTGAGTATTTTCTATTAAAAATTGTAGAGTTTTAGATTTTTTTATAAACACTATATTCCACAACAATGTGCGTTAGAAGAGGTCGAACAAAATATGTAAAAATATACAGGGTGTTTTATAAAAAAAAAACTAAGTTGTGTCTTACGCCTTAAAAACAAAACAAGAAATCGAAAAATTAGAAAATACAAAAATTTAAAAACCAAAAAATCGAAAAAATTACTATTTTAAAATGCGAAAAACCGAAAAAGCTAAAACCGGGAAGTCGAAAAATCGAAAATTGAAGAACTGAAAAAGCGAAGAATCGAAAAATTCAGAAATCGAAAAGTCAAAAAATTGAGTAATCAAGAAATTGAGAATTCGAAAAATTTAACAAATCGGAAAACCGATATGATGAAAAATGGAAAATTTGGTCATCGGAGTGTCAAAAAATCGTGAAATCAAAAGTGGAAAAATCGAAAAATTGAAGAATCATAAAACTGAAAAACCTACTATTTTAAAAAACGAAGAATTGAAAAACCGAAAAAGCTAAAACCGGGAAGTCGAAAAACCGAAAATTGAAGAACTGAAAAAGCGAAAAATCGAAAGATTCAGAAATCGAAAAGTCAAAAAATTGAGTAATCAAGAAATTGAGAATTCGAAAATTTTTAAAATCGAAAAACCGTTATGTTGAGAAATCGAAAATTCTAAAACTTGAAGAATCGATATAATTAAAAAATGGAAAAATCTGGTGACCGGAATGTCAAAAAAATCGTGAAATCCAAAGTGGAAATTCGAAAAATTGAAGAATAAAAAACTGAAAAATCTACTATTTTAAAAAGCGGAGAATTGAAAAACCGAAAAAGCTAAAGCCGGAAAGTCGAGAAATCGAAAAATTGAAGAAGTGAAAAAGCGAAAAATCGGAAAATTCAGAAATCGAAAAGTCAAAAAATTGAGTAATCAAGAAATCGAAAATTCGAAAAATTTAAAAAATCGGAAAACCGATATGATGAGAAATGGAAAATTTGATCATCGGAATGTCAAAAAATCGTGAAATCAAAAGTGGAAAAATCGAAAAATTGAAGAATCAAAAAACTGAAAAATCTACTATTTTAGGAAGCGAAGAATTGAAAAACCGAAAAAGCTAAAACCGGGGAGTCGAAAAACCGAAAATTGAAGAAATGAAAAAGCGAAAAATCGAAACATTCAGAAATCGAAAAATCAAAAAATTGAGTGATCAAGAAATTGAGAATTCGAAAAATTTTAAAAAGCGGAAAAGCGTTATGTCGAGAAACCGAAAATTCTAAAACTCGAAAAATGGATATAATTAAAAAATGGAAAAATCTGGTCATCGGAATGTCAAAAAAATCGTGAAATCCAAAGTGGAAAAATCGAAAGATTGAAGAATCAAAAAACTGAAAAATCGAGAAATTGAAAAATCCAATGACTAAAATGTCAGAAGATTGGGAAATCAAAAAATTGAAGAATGGAAACATTGAAAAATTGGAACATCGAAAAATCGCAAAGCCAAAAAATCGAAAACTCGAAAGAGAAATCGAAACATCAAAAATTGAAAAATTGAAACATCTGGAAACCGATACATCAAAATAGTGAGAAATTGAGAAATCGAGAAATAGAAAAATTACAAATTGAAAAATTTTAAATGTGAAAAAATCGAATAAATGAAAAATTGGTAAATTAAACAATGATATATTGAAAAACTGAAAAATCGAAACATTTAAAAACCAACAAATCGAAAAAACTGCAATTTTAAAAATCGAAAAACTAAGAAACCGTAAACCTAAAACCGAGAATTTGAAAAATCTAAAAATCGAGAAGTGGAGAAAACGAAACATTGAAAATTCGGGAAGCGGGAAAATGAAAAAATCGAGAAATCGAAAAATTCAGAAATCAAAGTCAAAAAATTGGATAATCGAAAAATTGAAATATCAAATAAACTGCAAAAACTCAAAACTGAAATATCGATAAATTAGGAAATCGAAAAATTGAAAAATCTAAACATTAAAGAATTGAAAAATCTAGAAAACGCAAGGTCGACATTGAAAAATTGGGACATCAAGAAATCGATACTCAAAATATCGAGAAATCGAAGATCGAAAAATCGAAAAATCGAAAAATCGGGAAATTCAACAATCAAAAAATGAAACACCGAAATCTCGAAAATTTGTGAATTAAAAATAATGAAAAATCCAAAAACTAAAAAATCGATAAATTTAAAAACCAAAAAATCGAAAAACCGAAAAATCTAAAACCGTCCAAAAATCGAAATATTGAAGAACTGAAAAAGGGAAAAATTGAAAAATCGAAAAGTGGATAAATTGAAACATTAAATTAAGAACTCTATAAATTGCAAACCGAAATGTCGAAAAATGGAAGTTCGAGAAATTGAAAAACTGAAAAATCGAATGTAAAGTCCCAAAATTGAAAAAATCATAAAATCAAAATCGAAAAAGAAAATTTAAAAAATCGAAAATTAAAACAATTAAAGAAACAAAAAAGTGAAAAATCAGAAAATTGGAAAATCCCAAAACTGAACACTATGTCTAGTTAAAAATAATTTTAAACCATAGCCCTCAAAGAACCGTACAACTTTGGTCTTTGATTTTTTTCTGTCTGTTTTTTTGTATAGCATTTATTATTTTTTTTAAATTTACAAAATTTCCAAAATGACACTAACATTTTACATCATTTCATGTTTCCGTCGAATTTTTTCCCACACAATGAACACCCTGTATATGTATTAAAATAAAAGAAAAACTTCGACAAACACTCTAAATTAAACTTTCTTTAAATTTTACGCAACTTTCAGGAAGACAATTAATATTTTCACGCGATATTGTATTTCCCGCTAATCGTCGCAAACAAAAGGTTAGGAAACTTCAATAACGAACCAACTTTTCTCATAACATTTGTATTCGACCCAATAAAATAAATATAGAAACAATTTCATACCTACTTCAAGAAACCCTAAAAATAACCTGAATTCGTAATTCAATCACTTAAAACTTTATCCATAGAACAAAAATAAAACAGGCTTCCACAAATATACAAATCTGAATCAATGTCAATAAATTTTTAAGACCCCATTGCAATATTAATCTTATTTTATTTTTACCTATATGAATCTCCCACGAAGAGGGATTTCTCTGAGGAAAATCCCCCAAACCAAAATTTCCAACAGTTATTATTAAAAAAATGAATAAACGCTAATAAAAATTTAAAAAATTCTAACGACAGTATTGTAATTTTGAGAACGGGTTTCCCCACAAAGGAAACGAATTTGTTGTTTTCACGGAAGAGTTCCGATTTTGAGAATGTATACAGAAAATACATTAGTATAATTAAATTAAAGTGGTGTTTATACACCCACTCGGACCTGGAAGAGAAACATTTAACCACGGAGAATGGTAATGGAACTGTACCAAACCGATCTCTGGATAGGTGCTGCCATCTTTGAAACGGGAGTCGACAAAATCAATTCATTGGAAGAATTCTTTTCAGAGCCGGTTCATAAACTAATGTATATAACGTGAAAGATGAAGACGATAATAAGTATATATAGGTACAATTACACCACCATCAATCACAAACGGATTTATTGTATTTATAATAATTATTTCGTTACAAGAATTATTGCTTAAACATGGCGACTTACAACAACAAAACAAATCAAATGTACAATACGTCGCTCACAAAAGCGGCTAATTATCCTTTATTTAAAATGCTTTAACATAATACAAGAACCTCAAACAATACACAACAAAAGTCGAGTTCGAACAAAATAAAAATTTCGGCATAAGCAAGTAAGAAAGAAGTGAAAATAAGAGAAAACCGCTTAGCACCAATAACACAGCTAGAGTATTAAAATTTTGAAAACTTTGGCACAATACCAACATACATTTTGTCAACATTATACAATACTCTTCTCTCTACTACAAAGTAACATCACTTTCCCCGGCGGGAACAAAATAAATCGAAACTTAGGCATCCTTCAAGGCCAGTTCTCTTGGTTCATGTGGGGCAGGCAATTTCGCGTAATTGGCCTCAATCCCCCAGATATCTTTCCCGTATTCTATGATAGTGCGGTCACTGGAGAACTTTCCAGACGACGCGATATTATTAATGGCCATTTCTATCCACTTGGACTGGTTCTAAAAACGCTACTGTTAAGTCACTTCTGTCACAAAATAAGTCATACTAACCTCATAGACGGCGCTGACTTCTTCTTGTTTCTTGATATAGGCGTCATAGTCAGCCAGCAAGTAAAACCTATCATACTTAAGCAAAATGTCAGCCAGATCCTTAAACTCGTCTGGGTTATTAGGGTTAAAGAACCCGTTTTGAATCTGATCAACTACTTGTTTTAATTCGGGGTTCGCGTTATAGTAGTCGTACGCGTTGTACCCTTTCTGTTTCAACGCCTCCACTTCCTCCACGGTCATTCCAAAAATGAAAATATTATCCAAACCCATCTCTTCAGCCATTTCCACGTTGGCACCATCCAGAGTACCAACAGTCAAGGCGCCATTTAATTGGAACTTCATGTTCCCAGTACCCGACGCCTCAGTTCCCGCTGTCGAAATCTGCTCGCTCAAATCCGCCGCCGGGATGATCTTCTCGGCCAGCGTAACCCGATAATTCTCCAGGAAAATAACCTTCAACTTATCCCCGACGATCGGGTCATTATTGACCACATTCCCCACGCAATTAATCAACTTGATGATCTTCTTCGCGGTGTAGTACCCAGGAGCTGCCTTTCCACCAATCATCACAGTCCTGGGGGTGATTTTAGCCGCCGGGTTCCTCTTTATCCTATTATAGAGAGTGATAATGTGCATACAATTCAAAAGCTGCCTTTTGTACTCGTGGATACGCTTAACGTGGATGTCAAACATGGAAGCCGGGTTGACTTTAACCCCGTAGTCTTTCTCGATCAACTGCGCAAGCTTGAGTTTGTTCTCTTGCTTGACTTTAGCTATGCCTCGTTGGAAAACGGGGTCTTTGGCCCATTGTTTGAGTTGTTGGAGCTGGTCGAGGTGCACCATCCACTCTTCCCCGATTTTGTCACAAATGAGGTCACTCAAGCCGGGGTTACACAGCACGAGCCACCGCCGAGGAGTAATTCCGTTAGTCTTGTTCTGGAACTTTTCGGGACTGAGTTCGTAGAAGTCTTTAAACCTGGAAGACACAAAGTAGTGGGGTTAGTGCAGAAAGTCGGACTTACAAATCGGCTTTGATGATTTCTGAGTGGATTCGTGCGACTCCGTTGACCGCGTGCGAGCCTACGATGGACAAGTGGGCCATGTTGACGCGCTTGATTCCGTCTTCTTCAATCAAAGACATGCGGCGCATTCTGTCGAGATCGTGCGGCCACTTTTTCATCACGTTTTCGAGATGGAGGTGGTTGATGTGGTAGATGATCTCCAAGTGACGCGGGAGGATGTTCTGGAGCATGTCAATAGGCCAGCGCTCCAGGGCTTCAGGTAAAACAGTATGGTTGGTGTAGGCGCACGTTCGTACAGTGATGTCCCACGCGCTATTCCACGGAAGTCCCTCAATATCCAGCAAAATCCTCATCAACTCTGGAATGGCCAAAGACGGGTGCGTGTCATTCAGTTGAATCGCGACCTTATCCGGCAGCAAGTCGAAATTAGTTCTAGTGGGCTCGCGCGTCCCGAATTTCGCCGCCTTGAACCGCCGGATGATATCTTGAAGCGTAGCCGCACACATAAAATACTCCTGCTTCAACCGCAGCTCTTTGCCGCCAAAGTTATTGTCATTAGGGTACAAAACCCGCGATATGTTTTCAGCCAGATTTCGGTCCAGAACCGCCTGAATATAATCCCCGTCGTTGACTAAAACCAAAAACTGTAACCCAAGACGTGCGACCCTATAGAAACTTACAAAATTGCAAATTGAAGTCGATGGGCGACTTCGCCGACCATAACCTCAACGTGTTGACGACGTTGTTGTTGTACCCGGGAATGGGGTTATCGTAAGGGAGCGCGAACACCACCTGGGTGTTGACCCATTTCCGCCCGGTGGGTGAGTCCACCACGTTACCGTAGAAGTTCACGGGTAGCATGTACTCAGGGCGGGCTTTTTCCCACGGGTTGCCGAATCTGAGCCAATCGTCGGGCTCCTCTTGTTGTTCGCCGCTGATGATCTTCTGGGCGAAGATGCCGTATTCGTAGCGGATGCCGTAGCCGTAGGCCGCCATGCCTAGGGTGGCCATGGAGTCTAGAAAACAGGCGGCGAGGCGGCCCAGGCCGCCGTTGCCCAGACCGGCGTCCTCTTCCAATTCCTCGAGTTCTTCGATGTCTAAGCCTAGTTGGTAGAGAGCTTCGTCCACGGAGCTTTGGATGCCTAGGTTAATCATGGTGTTTTGGAGAGATCGGCCCATGTAGAATTCTAGAGAGAGGTAGTAGACCCGCTGCAAAGGAAAATCGATGTAGCAATAGGGGTTAGACTGCTCCAGCTCCTCACTGCGGGTTTCCACAATCCCTAAACGCTTACCCGGACTAATTTTTTTAACAATAATGAATCTGGTTCCACGAAAAATTGTTATAAAGATCTCCTTCCATGTAACTTTAAAGAAAGTCAAGTGTGCTTTGTGAATGCTGAACCCTCAGTCTAAAAATAGCGCCGACTTGATTCATTAATTAAAATACTTAAAGGTTAATATTGCTTAACGGAACAATGGTGCAATAAAGCACGCGTTAGAAAATCAAAATGCAAATTAAATTTTAAAACAAAAAAAAATGGTTAATAAAACAATTTCGTTAGAGCTTAACCTTTATAGTAAAAATAGTTGTTTGAGTGAACCTTTCAGTTGCACTTTGATAGAGATAAGTGAAGTAATAACAATAACAGTTAGTATTAAATCAGCAAATGTAGTTCAAGGAGATCTCACTATAAATTGAAAAACGGCTAATCTATGAACTTGTTTTCGCATTGGGAACATTTTTTAACGATCAATAAATTACGTTAAATTGGATCTAAAAAATTAGCGACAGATTTTTAATTATTTTGACCTAATCGAGGTGTATGCAACGAGTTTCTTAGAAATAAACAACTATTATGTAAGTCGATAATTATCTGATATTTTATAATGACCCACTGGAAATGCACAAAGCCAAGGTTAAACGAGTAGTTGCACTGCAAAAGTTACATATTTTTTAATAAAAAACATTTGATATTTCTTTATTAGCCAATCTTTCAAGGATTATCTTCATTTATAATTAGATCTAGTCATATATTTTCTAGATAACTTTAATCTCTATTTCCAAAATATCTACACTACATAGTCAACAACAAACAGTTCTTGAAATTTTCAGCTAAGCTATCTTAAGAAATTATTGACTTAAGTCGCTCAAGGCACTTGATGTGTCTATTGTGCCCACCCGGAATGCAAGAATCGCCAGCTATTTTGTTTACACTGTACTAATTGGAATGTTTATGACAAGATTAACGCTTTGATTAGAGTCAAAAATTTCAAAAAATCTGTTTTTTGGATTGTGGAAAAACTTCCACAGTTGCATAACCTAAATTAAATCATTCGTATTTCAGTCGATCTTTGAGACCGTTCGGAGCCAGATTCACTTGGCCACTCCAAATTTCGCCGATTAGATAATTCTGGCTTCAGTCGAACAATCCAACAATAAATTTTCTCCGAGTTTCTCAATCCACAAGCAAAACAAGAAACAACTTAGTTTAATTTTGGCTTAGATCTTCACCACCCAAAATACATTCTGAATCACAGTTGGCCAATTCAAACCAAAAAATAAAGCACCCCTGCGCAATAAACCTAATGAACCCGAAAATATTTTTCCAAAAATTTAACATCTGTTGGAAGCGCGCCAGCCACATGAAATATTGACACGTGCTTTCTTGTGGCCCGTTCCAACTTCCAACCATCAAACTAAAGTTCAGCGGAATACAATTTGAATAAACCGATAAGCCCATTGTTCGCCCGATAAGCGAAAATAAACCCCGACCTTTACCCTGAGTTGAAAACGCTGTGAGACGTTTCGGGCAGCATCTTCAACTTTGAAATTTCTCACCTTGGGGTCCTTTTCGTAGTAGTGCTGCTGCGTGCGGATCCATCTCGAGACCAGGTGGTCCTTCACGGTGTGGGCTAGCGCGATGTAGTAGTCTCTGGCGGTGGCCACATTCCGGTCCTTCACTAGAGTGTAGTGGAGGTGGCGGTTAAAGGTCTTCTTGATTTCGTTGACGTCGTCGAGTTGGGCGATTCCCCGGACGCTGATTTGTTTTCTTCTTTCGCTGTCCGACTGCGGGATGGACATGTTGTCTTCGTGAAGGCGACCGAATAATGAGCTTGAGGTCGCCTCGCCGGCTTTACTGACTTGAAATGAGTGTAGGGGTCACCTTGCGGAGGGAGTCAGCGCGCAAACGCAAGTTTGTAAACACAAAACAGCTGGCAAGCCCCTTTTCGCAGTTGCCGCCAATTTTTGGAGTGGTTGGACACGTGATGGGATTAACAGAGAGCGGAGACGAGCGACATGGAGCGAACGAGTGATGGATGAGTAATGGAATTTCGCATTTACTTACTTCAGGTTTAAGTATTAGTGCCGCATGATTACTGATGTAGAGTGCATGATAATTGTTCATTAGGGGTATTTTTAGAAGCTACGTGGCTCTGCGTGGGATTGCAGTGAGCAAATGGGATTATCTCGGTATTAAGAAAATGACGTTGGGTAGGATTTTGTCTGGACTTTAATTGTGGACAGATAAGCTGTAATCAAGCTGACGACCTTACTTCGAGCAGACTGTCGTGAGATAAGAAATGGTACAAATATACTGTAGAAAGACTGGGCCGAAAAATTACAATGAAAAGTAAATTTACTTGTTCAAACGTCATTGTAAATACGTTCGTTTTTAAACAAGCTTTTACCAATATTGCAACTGCTGTAATCAAAATCAGTTTTCAAGTCAAATTGATCAGGTTTTTTTTTATTACTATTTTTACACAAATATACAAAAGTAATTTTATATTATAACCTAACTTTGCAAAAAAAGGTTGTTATGTTAACGGTTTTTGTTTAAACATAACGGCAACCTTTTAAATCCTTTATATTAAGGTAGCATTGTGTTTTCACTTCACGATAATTGCGCCGAGGGAATATTAAACTCTTTATTTATCGCTTTCTATTGTCAATTTTTAAATTACGTCGGTGTAATTGTGGTTCAGAGAAATTGGAGCTCAAGGTCCAACTTTTTAATGTCTTGTTTGACGTTTCCGCTCAAGATGGCTGCTCGAAATCTGAAACATTTATTTTTGAGACTGAAAATGAGGTGAATACACACGCAATACAAAAAAATAAAAAACTGAACTCTTCGGGAAATTTAAAAAGGAAAAATCTTGAAAAAAAGCGAGAAAATCTTGAACATTTTTCATAAAATCTTCAAAAAAAAAGAATTTTTAGAAACCTTGGAAAATCGTCAAAAAAACTTGAAAAAATCAAAAACAAAAGCGGAAATCTTCAAGACCCGGTTTCCAGAAGCTGACTGGGATTATTAAATTTTTAACACGGGGTTAAAGTGTCACGTGATTGACTCTACGCCAATCACTCAATCAAACGTCACCAAACACCTCGTTAAATGCGTGATTAACTTAATCCCAGTTAAAATATTGTATAAACTGGAAACGGAGACATTTTGAAAAAGATCTTTAAAAAAAACTTGAAAATTTAAAAAATGTTTGAAAAACTAAAGAAAATATTAAAAACCTTGAAAACTTAAAAATCTTGAGAAACTTCAAAACCCTTGAAAAATAAAAAATCTTAAACAATCTCTTTAAATTGCTTCAAAAACAGTACACAAAAAAATCCCCTAGATTTTTTCAAACTATTTCAAAAACCATACAGGAGTCCCCGAGATTCTTAAAATTAAAAAAAAAATGAAAATCTTGAGAAATTCAGAATCTTCAAAGAAATTCAAACCACTGAAAAATCTTCAAGAAATTTAAGAACGAAGAACCTTGAAAAAAAGCGAAAAGATCTTAAAAATTTTTCAAAAAACTTGAAAAACCCAAAAATAAAAGGAGAAATCTTTAAAAATAAATCTTAAAGACCCGGTTTGCAGAACCTCAATTAAATATTTGACTGGGATTAAATTTTTAAAACGGCGTTAAAGTACCATATGACTGACACTACGCCAATCAGAAGTCGCTAAACGTCTCGTTAAATGCGTGATTAACTTAATCCCAGTTAAAATATTGTGTAAACTGGCTCTAAAAAACAGAAATATTTTGAAAAAAAATCTTCAAAAAAAAAACAGAAAAAAGGAAAATGTTAAAAAAACTTGAAAATTTCAAAAATGTTTAAAAAACTTCAGAAAATATTAAAAACGTTGAAAACTTAAAAATCTTCAAAAAAATCTTGAGAAACTTCAAAACCCTTGAAAAATAAAAAGTCTTCAAATTTTAAAACAAATCTGTAAAAAAATCTTGAAAATCTTGAGACATTCAAAAAACGAATAATCTTCAAAGAAATTAAAGACTCTTTAAAAACCTTGAAAAAATCAAAAACAAAAGAGAAATCTTTAAAAACAAATCTTGAAGACCCGGATAATGTAAAAAAAAAACTTGAGAATTAAAAATATGTTTAAAAAACGTAAGAAAACATGAAAAACCTTGAAAAACTTCGAAACCCTTGAAAAACTTCAAAACCCTTGAAAAATAAAAGAAATTTTTTAAATCTTCAACAATCTCTTTAAATTGCTTCAAAAACAGTACCCAAAAAAATCCCCTAGATTCTTTAAAACTGTTTCAAAAACCATACACGAAATCCCCGAGATTCTTTAAATTACTTCAAAAACAAGGCTTATGTGATGCCTGAGATTCTTAAAATTAAAAAAAAAGCAAAATTTTTGAAAAATCTTGAAAATCTTAAAACAAATCTGTAAAAAAATCATGAAGATTTTTAAAAATTCGAAAAAAACGAATAATCTTCAAGGAAATTAAAAAAACTGAAAAATCTTCAGGAAATTTAAGAAGGAAGAACCTTGAAAAAAGTGAAAAAATGTTAAAAATTCTTGAAAAAACCTTCAAAAAAATTAAAGACTTTGAAAACCTTCAAAAATTTTCAAAAAACTTGAAAAAATCAAAAACAAAAGAGAAATCTTTAAAAACAATTCTTGAAGACCCGGAAAATGTAAAAAAAACTTGAGAATTAAAAAAATGTTTAAAAAACGTAAGAAAACATAAAAAACCTTGAAAAACTTCGAAACCCTTGAAAAACTTCAAAACCCTTGAAAAATAAAAAAAAAATTTAAATCTTCAACAATCTCTTTAAATTGCTTCAAAAACAGTACACAAAAAAATCCCCTAGATTCTTTCAAACTGTTTCAAAAACCATACACGAGGAATTCCCGAGATTCTTTAAATTACTTCAGAAACAAGGCTCATGTGATTCCTGAGATTCCTAAAATTAAAAAAAAAAGAAAAATTTTTGAAAAATCTTGAAAATTTTAAAACAAATCTGTACAAAATCCTGAAGATTTTTAAAAATTCAAAAAAGCGAATAATCTTCAAAGAAATTTAAAAAACTGAAAAATCTTCAGGAAATTTAAGAAGGAAGAACCTTGAAAAAATGTTAAAAATTCTTGAAAAAACCTTCAAAAAAAATTAATGACTCTTTAAAAACCTTGAAAAATTTTCAAAAAACTTGAAAAAATAAAACACAAAACAGACATCTTTAAAAACAAGTATTGAAGACCCGGATAATGTTAAAAAAAAACTTGAGAATTAAAAAGATGTTTAAAAAACGTAAGAAAACATGAAAAACCTTGAAAAACTTCGCAACCCTTGAAAAACTTTAAAACCCTTGACAAATAAAAAAAAAATTTAAATCTTCAACAATCTCTTTAAATTGCTTCAAAATCAATGAGATTCTTAAAATTAAAAAAAAAAGAAAAATTTTTGAAAAATCTTGAAAATCTTAAAACAAATCTGTAAAAAATCCTGAAGATTTTTAAAAATTCAAAAAAATGAATAATCTTCAAAGAAATTAAAAAAACTGAAAAAGCTTCAAGAAATTTAAAAAGAAGAAATCTTGAAAAAAAGAGGAAATCTCGAACATTTTTCAAAAAAATTGAAGAATCAAAAACAAAAGGGGAAATCTTTAAAAACAAATCTTTAATAAAAAACGGAAATATTTTGAAAAATCTTGAAAATCTTAAAACAAATCTGTAAAAAATCTTGAAGATTTTTAAAAATTCAAAAAAACGAATAATCTTCAAAGAAATTAAAAAAACTGAAAAATCTTCAGGAAATTTAAGAAAGAAGAACCTTGAAAAAATGAAAAAATGTTAAAAATTCTTGAAAAAACGTTCAAAAAAAATTAAAGACTTTAAAAACCTTGAAAAATTTTCAAAAAACTTGAAAAAATCAAAAACAAAAGAGAAATCTTTAAAAACAATTCTTGAAGACCCGGAAAATGTTAAAAAAAAAGTTGAGAATTAAAAAGATGTTTAAAAAACGTAAGAAAACATGAAAAGCCATGAAAAACTTCGAAACCCTTGAAAAACTTTAAAACCCTTGACAAATAAAAAAAACAATTTAAATCTTCAACAATCTCTTTAAATTTCTTCAAAATCAATGAGATTCTTAAAATTAAAAAAAAAAGAAAAATTTTTGAAAAATCTTGAAAATCTTAAAAGAAATCTGTAAAAAATCCTGAAGATTTTTAAAAATTCAAAAAAATGAATAATTTTCAAAGAAATTAAAAAAACTGAAAAAGCTTCAAGAAATTTAAAAAGAAGAAATCTTGAAAAAAAGAGGAAATCTCGAACATTTTTCAAAAAAATTGAAGAATCAAAAACAAAAGGGGAAATCTTTAAAAACAAATCTTTAATAAAAAACGGAAATATTTTGAAAAATCTTGAAAATCTTAAAACAAATCTGTAAAAAATCCTGAAGATTTTTAAAAATTCAAAAAAACGAATAATCTTCAAAGAAATTAAAAAACTGAAAAATCTCCAAGAAATTTAAAAAGGAATCTTGAAAAAAAGAGAAAATCTCGAACATTTTTCAAAAAAATTGAAGAATCAAAAACAAAAGGGGAAATCTTTAAAAACAAATCTTTAATAAAAAAACGGAAATATTTTGAAAAAAATCTTCAAAAAATTCTAAAAAAAGGAAAATGTTTAAAAAAACTTGAAAATAAAAAAAATGTTTAAAAAACTTAAGAATATAATAAAAAATTTAAAAATCTTGAAAAACTTCAAAACCCTTGAAAAAATAAACAAATCTTGAACAATCTCTTTAAATTGCTTCAAAAACAAGACTTTGTGTCTTTGTGATCCCCGAGATTCTTAAAATTAAAAAAAAGGAAAAATTTTGAAAAAATCTTGAAAATTTTGAAAAAATCTTCAAAATTTTAAAAGAAATCTGTAAAAAATCTTGAAAATCTTTAGAAATTCAAAGAAACCAATAATCTTCAAGAAATTTAAAAAGGAAGAATCTTTAAAGGCCTTGAAAAATCTTCAAAAAAATATTGAAAAAATCAAAAACAAAAGAGGAAATCTTTAAAAACAAATTATGAAGACCCCGTTGCAGAAGCTCAATTAAATTTTTAATTGCAATTAAATTTTTAAGACAACGTTAAACACTATGTGACTGAAAATATTGTATAAACAGGCTCTAAAAAACGGAAATATTTTGAAAAAAATCTTCAAAAAAATTCAAGAAAAAAGAAATTGTTAAAATAAAAACTTGAAAATTAAAAAAATGATTAAAAAACTTACAAATCTTGAAAAGCTTCAAAACCCTTTAAAAAGTCTTGAATAATCTCTGTAAATTGCTTCAAAAACAATACACACAAAAATCCCCGTGATGCCTAAAACTAAAAAAAAGGAAAAATTTTGAAATAAAATGTTAAAAATCTGAAACAAATTTGTAAAAAAACTTTAAAATCTTCAGAAATTCAACAAAAAAATTAAAAAATTGGAAAATCTTCAAGGGATTTAAGAAGGAAGAATCATGAAGAGTTTCCAAAAAAATTGAAGAATCTTTAAAAACTTCCAAAAATCTTCAAAAAACTTGAAAAAATAAAAGACGAAAGGGGAAATCTTTAAAAACAAATTTTTAAGAACCGGTTTACTGAAGCTCAATTAAATACTTGACTGCGATTAAATTTTTAACACGGCGTTAAAGTACCACGTGACTGACTCTACGCCAATCAGACGTCGCTAAACGCCTCGTTAAATGCGTGATTAACTTAATCCCAGTTAAAATATTGTATAAACTGGCCCTAAAAAACGGAAATATTTTGAAAAAAAATTAAGAAAAAGGAAAATGTTTAAAAAAAACTTAAAAATTTAAAAATGTTTAAAAAACTTAAGAAAACCCTTAAAACATAAAAATCTTCAAAACAAATCTTGAGAAACTTCAAAACCCTTGAAAGATAAAAAAATCTTCAAATCTTGAAACAAATCTTTAAAAAAATCTTGAAAATCTTGAGAAATTAAAAAAAACGACTAATCTTCAAAGAAATTAAAAATACTGAAAATCTTCAAGAAATCTAAAAAGGAAGAACTTTGAAAAAAGCGAAAAAAATCTTAAAAAGTTTTGAAAAAATCTAAAAAAAATTGAAGAATCTATAAAAACCTTGAAAAATTTCCAAAAAACTTGAAAAAATGAAAAACAAAAGGAAAAACCTTTAAAAACAAATGTTTAAGACCCGGAAAATGTTTAAAAAAGTTGACATTTAAAAAAATGTTTAAAAAACGTAAGAAAACATGAAAAACCTTGAAAAACTGAAAAATCTTAAAAACAATCTTGAAAAACTTCAAAATCCCTAAAAAATAAAAATAATCTTCAAAAAATCTTCAACAATCTCTTTAAATTGCTTCAAAAACAGTACACAAAAAATTCCCTAGATTCTTTCAAACTGTTTCAAAAACAATGCATGAGGAATCCCCGAGATTCTTTAAATTATATACTTTAAAAACAAGACTCATGTGATCCCTGAGATTCTTATATTTAAAAAAAGGAAAAATTTTGAAAAAATCTGGAAATCTTGAAACAAATCTGTAAAAATTCTAGAAAATCTTCAGAAATTCATAAAACGAATAATTTTCAAAAAATTGAAAAATCTTCAAGAAATTTAAAAATTGGTCTAAAGAGTTTAGACAGTACTTCCCTCGCTGTCGGAAACTTGACGACTGCATGCCTATTGTGTTTTTTTTCTCATTACATTTTTGTAGTAGGAATTTAAAAAAAAATTGCGATGACGTCATCAACATTTTTGCAAGGACACGTATATCAGTTGGGATAGATGTAGTGTAATACTAAGAATAAAATTATTATATTCTCAAATTTTCGGGAAAATGAATTGGGTCGTTTGAATATTGATTTGTAATAATCAATAAAATAACGAAACAATTTACTCACGTATACCTACGTATCAGAGGCAACTGAAAATCGTGTATGTATAAACATTGTTAATTTAAGATGATAGGCGTAACAGCATACGTGAGAGCCAAACAGAGAAACTGTAAACAAAACCACCGTCGGTTTTATTGCTTCGACTTCCGCTTATTATATAAAACATTGGGTTTTATTTTAATTCTTGACGGTGAAATTCACAATTGGTTGATTATAAACATGTCTATTTCACATTCGCGGAATCAAGTGAACGCATAAAACAAATGCAGGTCTGTAATGTTAAAGTCGATGTAAATAAGCGTGCTACCCTTATGTTTCAACCGAGTTTTTCCTTTAACAAATTTTGTGTCTACCAAATTGGGTTGGTTGGGGTGTAATACTAATAATAAGTGTTGCCTTTAATTTAATCAATAAAATAAATTGACTTCATTAATTTTTTTGAACCACCTCTTAAGAAAATCTAAAAAATATGAATGGAATGATAAATCACAAGTACAAACTCATCATATTTTTTGCATTTTAGATAGGATTTATTCAGCAAAATTTAAGGGCGACGTCATCAATTTTTTTTAGGAGGGATGAACAAATACATTTTGAACAAAAGTTTACCATGCTTATAATAACTTTAAAATATTCCCAAGATTTCAAAGCATTCGGTTTTGTAATTCCTGATTAAATCGATAAAATAAATTCACGCCTTCATTAATTTTTTTGAGACACCCTGCATATGCAAATCCAAAAATATGAATGGAATGATAAATCACAAGTACAGACTCATCATATTTTGTACATTTTAGATACGATTTATTCGGAAAACTTTTGAGCTGACGTCATCAGTTTTTTGTAGAAGATAACCAAATATATTTTGACTAAAAATTTATTATGCTCTTTATAACCTTAAAACATCTGCAAGATTTCAAAGCATTCGGTTTTGTAGTTCCTGATTAAATCAATAAAATAAATTTACGCATTCATTAATTTTTTTGAGTCACTCTGTATATGCAAATCCAAAAAATATGAATGGAGTGATAAATGACAAGTACAGGCTCATCATATTTTGTACATTTTAGATATGATTTATTCGGCAAACTTTCGAGCTGACGTCATCAAGTTTTTGGAGGGGATAAGCAAATATTTTTTTACTAAAGATTTATGATGCTCTTTATAGCCTTAAAACATCTGCAACATTTCAAAGCATTCTGGTTAGCAGATTAAAAATTAAATTTCAAAATGTTGTTTTATAATTTTGATTTTTTTTCCAAAAATCTGGACGTTTCGGGTGAAAAGTCGATTCAGAGTTGTAAACTACATGTGTAGGACTATGTTATTTTATACAATTGAAAACCCATTTACTATGTACAATTTTGAAGTGACGTCATCGCTTTAGTGGTGGGGATGATTCGACAAATTTTGGTTAGCGTTTTACCATCTACATGATATTCTTAATATAAGTACAAAATTTCACAACAATCGGTCGAGTACTTTCGGAGATTATCTGTCTAATAAAAATCCGTGACAACAGACGGACAGACGGACAGACGGACGGACAGACGGACAGACGGACAGACGGACGGACAGACGGACAGACGGACAGACGGACAGACGGACAGACAGACGGAAATGGGAGACCTATTTCTTCGTCTTCTAGGGGTCATGAAAGATCGAGAAAACGTAAAAGTAGAGAGTCGGCCGACGGACTCGATTACAATACTTCCTTTGCTTACGCTCGGGAAGTAAAAAGGAAGAATTTAAAAAAAAAGCGAGAAAATCTTGACAACTTTTAAAAAATCCCAGTTAAAATATTGTACAAACTGGTCCTAAAAAGGGAAATATTTTGAAAAAACTTAAAAAAATGCAAGAAAAAGGAAAATTTTGCAAAGAAAACTTGAAAAGTAAGAAAATGTTTAAAAATTTAAAAAAATATGAAAACTCTTAAAACAATTCAAACTTCAAAACCCTTGAAGAAATAAAAAATCCCCGAGGTTCTTTCAAATTATGCGCGAATCCAAATTTTACCCACTTTTAAATAAAGTAAAATTTCGGCCTTGAGGCGCCGGTCTAAATTTTACCGGCGCTGTTTCAGGCCGCATCCGCGTCCGGAAACTATCATCATTGTTATTCTGTATCACAGACTTTCTGTATTATTCCTACAGAGCCCATAGTTGGCAACACTTGAAAATTGCTTACGACTGTCATAAATTTTATTACCAATCGCCGAAATTGACAGCTCCAGGCGCACAATCAATAGCGCCGGCTTACGAATTTTGCAGTGGAGCGTTATTGATCGGCTTATCATTAGACTTTATGACCATTTAACTGCCGCTGGAAGACCCAAACGGTGAGTCATGGGCTGGGAATTATCTGCAAACTGTGGTTGGCCAGACTTGGACTGCCGATTAGCGACAAACAGGTGCGTATACCTGGAATTCATTGAAACTGAAAGAGGGTAAAGCAGGTAGTAGGCGTCCTATTCAAAAGGAATTAAGAATTTTCAAGCCAACCCAAAAATCGCATTCCAAAACATAAGTGTCAAATTTATACTTACACAATAAGTTGCGATTACGTCATCAATTTTGTGGAGTGGACAAATTCTGATTGCTCGTGTATAGGCGAAAGCCAGGATTACAAAACACAAAACTCGTAACTCGAAGATTCTATTCACGTTTTTTCAAAGATCCACAACATGTATAACATACAGGCTCATAAAAAGAAATATTTCTCAGTCTATAGATCGAAAGTGCACAACGCCGCTTGGACATTTCGTACAGCATCTACAGTCCAAGGCAAAATACTTTACACCTGCGACTAACAACTACTGAAAGACATCACTTGAAATGATAAAAAACAAAGTATAAACAACTAAATTATTTTACAAAATATATTAAATTTATTTAGTTTTCTTGCTTTCTTGATTTTCTACGGTGTTCTCTTGTTGACCTTCGATGGCTTTGTTTTCCTCCCCCTCCGCGCTGTAGCCGAACTCGTTCTTCCTCGTTTTATCCACGGGGTAGATCCAGCGCTGGTACAAAAACACGAGGAATACCACGTCATCCCGGAAACACCCTATTCTATACATCGTCGGCATCTTGATAACAAACGCGAACATATCGTCTATAAACGTGTTCAAAAATTTGTAAGTCAACATGCGCCAAGGCAAGTGCGCAACCGACTTAAGCTTATAGTTGATAAAGAGCTGCGGCGTCATCATGATAAAACCGAAAGTCAACAAGTACCCGTACAACAAATCTAAAACGAACGAGTACCACCCTTTATGTTCTAGGTAAAACAACGCATAAATACTGTAACCGACCAGCAGTGGGAAACACACCCACGATAAATACTTAAATGCTAAATTGTCATATACTTTGGTACTGCTGTCCACGTACGACCCTTTATCTTTGAACGTCAAACGCCCATTCTCGAACTTAATATCGACGACTTTGTATATCTTCCATAGTTCGATTCCCAAACCTATGAAGCAGCTAATCCGCACGAGAGTATTAGTTTCGTTATCAAGCACATAAAGCAAAACGACTAAAGACTGGAAAACCCCGAAAAATACCGAACGTACGGACAGACCTTCCAACGAATTGCGGTTATTCCAGAACTGGATGTCGTTCTTAAACGCGAGCAACTCAAAAACGGAATGTAAAATTGATACCATGATGGTCAATCCTAGTAGGTACGGATTCGTGTCCATCAAAGTTTCTTTCAAAGTGTCTTGTTCTTCATCAGACTCTCCCTCTTTGTCGCCCCACACATTCCACATTTGTCTCATGTTTTGCGCAGCGTACAACTGCCACTTAAACAAAGTCAGAGGTTGGTAGTAAATTCGCAGATGCAGCGTTTCGTTCAAAGGTTTATAATCTCGCGCCATATTCCAAAAATCGTTAGCATAAAGTACCGGCTTATAAAACTTGCCATCAGCTGTAAACTTGATAAACTGGTCCAGAGGTGCTGGAACCCCCCCGTATGTCCACGAAGTCTGATCTGTAACAAGGTTTATGGTGAAATTTGGGTGCCAATGTGACACTATTTTCCCATCTTCGACTTCCACCTTCTCGCTGGTTCCCGTCAAGAGGTTTTTAGTGCCGCTGCTCTTCAGTTTTTTAAACTTATTCAACTGCTTTGTAACACGCGTCATTTGATTTTTCCCGTAATTACTAGCTTGTGGATTGGGGCTTTCGCCACGTCTCGTAATAAACGCGTGCAAGTACAAAGACCCATTGTTCCTCATTTGATCCGAGATAGTAACATTTTTTTCAACGAAATAGGTACCATCTTTGCTCCCGCCGGACGTCCAGTCGCCATAAACCAAATTATCTTTATACCAGAACAAATCCACCGAACTAAAATCCTCCATTTGCTCCTTTTCACTGACGTACACGTGCAAACTCAACGGGGTCCCCTCCTGGAAGATGTTTTTCGCGGTGAACGTGGGCGTCGCGGCCCCCGTGTTGTTAGTCTGAGGCGGCGCAGGCCTTCGGAAGAATGACGTGATGAAGTAGATTATCAAGGCGCGGATGATCAGGGACTTGGTTAGCGCGAAAAAGGACTCCATTCGGGTGGGCTGGCGCTGCGCTTCTTGCTGAAAACGGGATTTTTAGGCGAAATTTGGGATTTATTGATTACTTACGGCATTCTCTGCGGGCTGGTTTTCGTCCGGTTTGGCCACTTGGCCGTTGACCGACGGGTTGTTTTCGCTTTCTTGGCCGCTCATCTTGGGATGGTTGTGCAAATTTTATAATTTTACCAATAAATTGACCACATCACTGGAACGAAATGACTTTTCGTTTGAAATTTGCGAAGTTGGTAGCTGGAGAAAGAGGTTATGTGCGGGAGCAGGGGGGCCAACCGCGTTACGTCACGAAAAACTGACGTGGTCATCACGTGAGGGTCGCGAGGGTCATGCGACAGGGGCGGATTAAGGCGGATTTGGAGACCATGATTTCTTTGTTTTTGAAGATTTCAAAGTCGATCACATATTGTAATCTAAAATTAGAATATAGTTACAGAATAGGAACTAAAACTGAGTCTATGTCGTAAGTCTAGGAAATACTGACTGATTTAAGTTTTTGTTAAAAAGAGCAGCAATTTTGAGACTTTGTTTATTTACAGTACACAAATTAATCAAATCAATTTATTTTTTATAAATTTCTTTAATGAACAATATTACCAATTCCATCCCGACAACTGCAACATAAAATATGTCAAGAAAATTTAACAAATTTAAAATTTTAGGAATTTTTAAGGAAACCTTGACTCTGTTACATTATTAAATATAAAAATGCTTGCTAATTTACTGAAAAAACTGTATTTTAACTGATTATTTAATTAATTATTTCGACAGAACTTCCCTCGCCTCGATTTTTTGCTTGAATTTTTCAATTTTTCTTTTTTTTTCTCTTCAGTTTTTTTATTTTATTTTTTTATTTTTTCAATTTTATTGTTTTCAGTTTCTCGTTTCTTTTATTTTTCATTTTTTTTTTGTTTCTTCATTTTTAAGATATGCGACTCTTCAAATTTTCATTTTTAATTTATATTTATATATAGTACATATTAAGATAAAACTAAATCACATACCTTCTAAGAAAATAGAGGATGGGTGGGCGGGAGTAGTACTTGCCAAGATAAGATTGAATAATATTAAGAGTAGTCACTGGAATGAAGAGGGGATCGGTGGGCGGAGCTAATGCTTGCTTATAAAATAAAATGAAAAAATGAAATTTCAATTTTTTTCCTTCAATTTTTCGAGTTTCAAGCTTAAAATTTTCAATTTTCCAACTTTTGATTTTTTCTGTTTTTATATTGTGCAATTTTTCGATTTATTTGCGTTATTTTTTCATTTATTCGATTTTTCAGTGTTTCGATTTTATTTTTTGTTTTTGCACTTTTATTTTTTTCAGTTTCCCGTTTCTTCAATTGTTCGATTTACAATTTTTCAATTTTTCATTTTTTTCAGTTTTAAATTTTTCGATTTTTCGATTTTCCAACTTTTGGATGTTTCAGTTTTCAGATTTTACAATTTTTCTATTCGCAATTTTTCGAGTTTTCAATTTTTAATTTCTCACTTTTTGGATTTTTCAATTTTTCGTTTCTTCAATTTTTGGATTTGCAATTATTCAATTTTTTTTTTTGTTAGTACTTGCTAAGATTAGACTGATTTTAGCAAATCACAGATCCTCTAAGAACATTGAGAGCGGGTGGACGGGCCTAGTATACCCACCCTTATTACGTTTCCATCATTCATTCTTATTGGCTCTGAAGAAAGAATTTCACCGGTTTACAATTTTTAATTATTCAGTTTTTGATTTTTCAATTTTAAAATATTAAAATCGAAAGAAATGTTGAAAAAATAAAGGAATTGTACAAAGGAAAAATTATGATATGAAACCAAGAAAATGAAAATTAAAAAAACGAGCATATGAAAAACAAAAATCAAGAACTTGGAAAATTGAAAAATCGAAAAATAAAAACGAGAATCTGAAAATCCAAAAATGAAAAATTGTAAAATGGAAAAATTGAAAAACTGAAAATGAAAGAAAATGACGAAATGAAAAATTGTAATATTAAAAATTTAAAATCGACGAAAAGGAAAAACGAAAAATTCTAATATCAAAAAATTGATCGAAGGGAAATAAATCCAGATTTTTCAAAAAAGGATAAGATTTGATTTGCGAATTTTATTTTTAAACTCTAACTAGTTTTCCAGAATCGCCTACTGAAATATCCCAATTTTAAAAAATCTTTCATTCTTATTGGTTCTGAAGAAAAATTTTTCAATCTTTAATTATTTAGTTTTTTGATTTTTCAATTTTAAAAATTATAAAATCTTAAATATTGAAAAAATAAAAGAATTGTAAAAAGGAAACATTCTGATAACAAATCGAGTAAATGAAAATAAAAAAATCGAGAAAATGAAGAATCCAAAAATGAAAAATTGTAAAATTGAATAATTGAAAAAGTGAAAATGAAATAAAATGAAAAAACGAAAAATTCTAACATCAAAAAATTTATCGAAGGTAAATAAATCCAGACTTTTCAAAAAATTATAAGATTTGATTTTGCAAATTTTATTTTGAAGTCCAATTGGTTTTCCAGAATCACCTATTGAAATATCTCGATTTTTAAAAATTTCAAAAAATTCGAATTTCACACCAAATTTTTCGAAAATATTGCCCCGTGACCTTAAACACGCTATATTTTTGGAACCAGTACGTCAAGATCTATAACCTTGAATATGAAAAAAAAAGAAGAAAAAATTGGTCGAAAATTGTTTAATTTGCACCTAAAGTACAATGAAACATATCCAGCATTTTCGAGTGGAGTTTTTTCTTTACACCCTCTCTTTTCTTAGAGAGTAACTTATTTGACAAAATCAGTGTTAACTTAGTAGGTACTAGCCCCGCCCACCCACCCTCTGTTTTCTTAGTGGGTATCTCATTTGCCAAAATCAGTCTTATCTTAGCAGCTACTAGCCCCACCCACCCACCCTCTCTATTCTTAGAGGGTATGTCATTTGCCAAAATCAATTTTATGTTAGCTAGTACTTACTAAAATAACACGGATTGTGGCAAATGATATACCTTCTAAGAAAATAGAGGGCGGGTGGGCGGGGCTAAAACTTGGTAAGATAGGACTGAACAATATTAAGAGTAGTCACTGGAATTAAGAAGGGGTGGGTGGGTGCTTGATCATAAAATTAGAAAACACTAAATTTAGTCCCGCCCACCTCCTTTCTCCACTTCACTAACTTATTTTATTTAGTGTAAAACGGAAATTGAAAAATAACAATATTTTATTCCCAAAATTTTCTGGGAAAATGGAGTGAGCCGGTCCTGATTTAATCAATACAATAAATTGACTCATTCATTTTTTTTGAGCCACCTGTTTAAGCAAATCTAAAAAATATAAATGCAGTAATAAATCACAAGTAAAAACTCATCATATTTTGCACATTTTGGACAGAATTTATTCGACAAAATTTTGAGATGACGTCATCATTTTTTTTTTGGGGGGGGGGGGAATAAATAGACATATTTTGATTAACAATTTACCATGCTCACAGTAACTTTAAAACGCGTTCGGTTTTGCAGATTCAAAATTAAATTGCAAAACGTTGTTTTATAATTTTGATTTTTTTTCCAAAAATCTGGACGTTTCGGGTAAAAACTCAATACGGAATCATAAACTACATGTGTAGGACTATGTTATTTCATACAATTTAAAACCTATTTACTATATCATTTGCCAAAATCAGTCTTATCTTATCAAATATAATATTTGCAAATGTGTAGATATATTTACTCATAGTTGTTCGTCATTTATTAGGGAATGCAAGAAACTCTTTAATTTAAATTAAAAATATTTGTATTTGTATTTCAGAATTACTTAATTTATTTTTTTTTTGTTTCCTAATTATATGTAAGAAAGTGGTTTGTTTCATATTGTATCCTGTAATTGGACTTAGTGTCTGTTGGTTACAATAAATGGTATTATTATTATTATTATTAAATACTACAATTTTGAAGTGACGTCATCACATTATTGAAGGGATGATTACACAAAATTTGGTTAGCGTTTTACCATCTACATGATATTGCTAATATAAATACAAAATTTGACAACAATCGGCCCAGTACTTTCACAGATAATTTGTCTAATAAAATCCGGAACGGCAGACAGACAGACACACAGACGGAAACGGGAAACTTATTTCTGCGTACGTAGGGGTCATGGAAGGTCGAAAACAAAAAAAAAGAACCTATTCACGATTTTTTAACGTCTGTAGAAATACACGTGTGATAATAATCTTCTAAACACAATTAAATAATCTGCTTCCTTCAAAAACAAACACACAACATAATTAAGATTACACATTTATTGAATGTTATTCATCTTATCAGTTTGTAGAGAATAAGTCAGATTAAAGATTTCATTGTCAAACGTAACCGCCACTGCAGGCTTGAACCTCCTGTCGCAGCGATTAGTGGTCAACTGTATCAAATCGACACGCTTGCTCTCAGTCGAGATGACATTTTTAATATAGTTAACCCACTTTGTACTTCACTGAGACCACACAGATATTTTTCAACGAACTTGCACGATTTTTTAACCTGTAACTGAATCCACAGAGAAATAAGTGGCTATAACAACATATAGAAACATGTCATAAAAACCTGCTTCAGCGGCCACAAACCATATTCGTCTCCCCTAACCACTTAATCCTGCTACTTCTTTTATGCTTGTTCGCCAGCTGGACTTGGTTGTTCCCGTAATTTCTCTGTTGACGGTTGGGGCTTTCGCCCCGTCTGGTGATAAACGCGTGCAGATACAAAGGCCCATTCTCCTTATGTACCGTGATGGTAAAATTTTCTTCAACGCAGTAGGCGCCGTTTTTGATTACAGCCCTCTTGTTGCCGTAAGCTAGATGATCTCGATACCATGACGGATTCGTTGGGTCAAATTCTTCGATGTGCTTTTTTTCAGTTACGTACAGGTAGAGGATGACAGACGTGTCCTTTTGGAAGATTTCCTCTGGGAAGTTTTCCTCCGGCAAAGTGGGCGTCGAAGGTTCTGCGGTTTTGTTCGGAGGTGGCTGTGAAGGTCTCCGGAAGAACGACGTGACGTAATAGATGATGAAAGCTCGGATTACCAGGGTCTTCGTCAACGCAAAAAAGGAGTCCATTCTTGTGACCCAAATTTTTTTCGAAATTTGTAGCTTTATTGATCTGCTTTGAGCAACAGTGTCTTTGGTTGTTGTTGGGTTTGCCAACCTGTTCGTTGACGTTGACTATCATAATGTAAACAAGTTTCAGGAATTATAACTTTGCAGTGTAGTTAGGCGAGATAACAATCCACGTAAAATGTTTTTGTTTTGTCTAGTTTTGTTGCAATTTTTTTATTCGTGATTATTTCCTCAATAAACAGTTTGTTTAAATTTAAGTTTAAGATAATACTAAACTACACTGTTAAAAGCAAACTTTTGAGTTGCATGCGTCCTTGACTTGTCAGTTCGTTAAAAAAAATAGAATGACAAAATGTCACTAACTTTTATTCTATTAGGCAACCAACAATACACCGATTTTAAATCGTCCAGTCTGCTTTAATGTAATCAAGTGGTTACAAGTTACAATAAATCTGACGTAAGTAGTACTTTACCGAAATTAGTTACTAATGGAACAAAAAGCAGTAGCGTCCGCAACAGTTAGACCGCAGGAAACAATAACATTGAATAACAGTATGAAAATACCAGTTGTGGGTTTGGGAACATACAAGGTATTATTTGGCTAAATACTTGAAGCACTGTAGTGAACTGCGATTATTGATAACAGTCTGACAAAAAACAAGTCCAGCACGCTATAAGTGATGCCATTGATGCTGGGTATCGCCACTTCGATTGTGCTTGGCTTTATGGCAACGAAGACGAGGTTGGACAAGCTTTACATTCCAAAATAGATGGTGGATTGGTCCAACGTGAAGATTTATTTATTACAAGCAAAGTATGATTTAGAAAACACATCAGATATCACATTTAAAATAAGATATATTCCAGCTATGGAATAATTTTCATGAAAAAAGTAAAGTTATACCAATGCTGGAGGAAAGTCTGGGCAGTTTAGGGCTGCATTATGTTGACTTGTACCTCATAAACTGGCCTTTTGGGTTTAAGGTCAGTATAGAAAGAATTTGTACTAGAGTATCAAAGAATACCGAGAAGTGACAGCCTAAAAATTCAAGCAAAATGACCCTTATTGTTGATTACGTAAGGTTGGATCGGTCAAAAAAGTCACTGTTTACGTTTAAGCGATATTTATCACACGAAATTTCTTGTTACAAATTTAATCCGAAATTTTCACGGTCAGTTGATTGTTATCAGTATTATTACATCATTTAGCAATTTATTAATAATAATAATAATATCTTATCTGACGGTAAGGTTTCAAATCAAAATTCAATCGCAGGAAAACGCACCCTTGTGCCCAACCAACCACCCCGAGAAATCTTACAGTAACGTCGACTACTTGGAAACGTGGGAAGGCATGGAAAACTGCGTCAAGCAGGGTCTGGCGAAGAGCATCGGCGTATCGAATTTCAACCCACAACAAATCACTCGCTTGCTGGACCACTGCAAAATTAAACCTGTGGTCAACCAGGTGGAGGTCACTCCAAACTTAAACCAAAAAGATCTGATTAAATTTTGTAAAGAACATGAAATTGTAGTCACTGGTTACGCCCCTCTGGGACGCAGCGCCCATCACGGGACCTCCGGTGGTCCAACGCCTACGATGTTGGACCCGAAAGTGATACAAATAGGCGAAAAATACAAAAAGAGTGCAGCTCAAGTGGTCTTGAACTATTTGGTAATAATTTGTTACAGGTTGTTTGTTTCACAAAGTGCTATTGTAGGTTTCTTTGGGGATCTCTGTGGTCCCAAGGTCTGTGCACAAGTCGCACATTTGCGAAAATATCAACATTTTCGACTTTACTTTGGCGCCCGCGGACGTCGCCTACTTGGATTCGCTCAACAAGAACCAGAGAGTTGTTACCATGAGCGAGTTTTCCTCGCACCCACACTACAGTTTTTGATTGTTAATCAAGTTCGTCCCTATTGCTAATAAACAATTGTTCGGAACTGTTTTTCATTTACGCAGACGGAGTCTTTGAACTTTAAATGCACTCTTATTTGTAAAAAGCGTGTTTAATAAAAAATTATCTTCGTCGCAGATAAACATCTGCTATATATCTTCAGCCTGACTAATGGAAAAGTGCGCTCGTATTTATCAATAGTCATGAAAAGTGTTAGTGGATTTAAAGTTCTATAGAAACAAATAACAACAATTCTGAGAGTAATTTATAATAATAATCATCGGATTAGTGTCCAGATAAAAAAGTTATCACCTGCTAATTTTTTTCTAATATCCGTGTAGAAAAATCCAAGATGTCTAAGGCGATCCCACTTAACGACGGCTTTTACATTCCTGTTATTGGTTTAGGAACGTACAAAGTAAGCAAATTGTGTATGTTTGAACTGTTATCAAGTGGTCTTAAGCTCCCTAACCCAGATGATGTAGAAAATATCGTCAAATTCGCCATAGACGCGGGCTACCGTCACTTCGACTGTGCCTGGATCCACGAAAACGAAGAAGCAGTCGGAAAAGCCATCAAAGCAAAAATCATAGAAAACGTCATCAAGCGAGAAGACCTTTTCATCACGACCAAAGTATGGAACAACTTCCACCGAAGAGAAAAAGTCATGGAGAAGCTGAAACTTAGCTTGAGGGAAATGAAGCTCAATTACGTGGACTTGTACTTAATCCACTGGCCCATCGGGTTCAACGTAAGTTATTTCTGAAGGTTCGAAAAATTAACACTAATAGTGTAGGAGACTTCCAAGACTGTCCCGTTAGGTGACGGCCCGGGGGCCTACAGCGATGTCGACTACCTAGAAACGTGGAAAGGGATGGAAGACTGCCTCTCGTGTGGCTTCACCAGGAGCATAGGTCTGGCCAACTTCAACAGCGAACAAATAGATCGCATCCTACGCCACGCTAAGTACAAGCCCGTGATCAACCAGATCGAAGTACACCCAAAATTCAGCCAAAAAAAACTAATACAGTTCTGCAAAGAACGCAATATTGTGGTGTCGGCTTACTACCCCTTCGGAGTCGGCGAACAGACTGGCACTACAAGATTTCCCGAAACCACGGTTTTAGATGACAACATTCACAAAATTGGGCGCAAATACAACAAATCTGCGGCTCAAGTCGTTCTGAATTATCTTGTGAGTGTTTGCGTTTGTTATCTATGTAGCTATTGTTGCGGTAGGTTTCTTTAGGGTTGTGCGTTGTGCCTAAGTCTATATCGAACCTGAGGATTAGTGAATATATTAAAATTTTTGACTTTCAATTGGAGCCTGAGGATGTTGTGTATTTGGATTCATGTAACAGGAATAATAGGATATGCACGATGAGGGCTTTCATGGACCACCCGCACTACCCGTTTCGGATTGAATATTAACGATGTTTATGATAGTAAAAACTGATCTAAATAAAGAGTTGATTTTTTTTTAATGTTTTGAAATTTTTTCAATTGTCATTTGTTATTTGATAAAGTGGCGACATCTAGTTAACACAGCGACTAACGCAGTTGCAGTTGCCCGCTTAAGTTTTGTTTGAAACATGATCCGTCATGGTTAACTGTCAAGTGTCAAAGTCACTCAAGCCAAATTAGGTTAAGTTTTAACGTCAAATTTACCACAAGTCGATTTTTATTCCAAGTAAATTATTCTAAATCTATGTATTTTCGTACGATGTAGCAGCAGCAAGTGTGCTACTTTTATATTGGCGCACGTACAACTCACTAATTTCTTTAATGAACAATATTGCCAATTAAAAAATTTTTAAATTTTAGAGATTTTTCAAGAACACCATAAATCTATTAAATATAAAAATGCTTGCTAATTTACGTTAAAAGTATATTTTAACTGATTAATGAATTAATTATTGCGACAGAACTTTCCTCGCCTCGATTTTTTGCTTTAATTTTTCATTTCGTTTCTTCAGTTTTTCAATTTGGAGTTTTTCGAGTTTTCAGGTTTAAAATTTTTATTTTCCAACTTTTGATTTTTCAGTTTTTATATTTTGCAATTTTTCGGTATTTTATTTTCATTATTTTTTCACTTATTCGATTTTTCAGTGTTTCGATTTTATTTTTTGTTTTTTCAATTTTAATTTTTTCAGTTTCTCGTTTCGTCAATTTTTCGAATTACAATTTTTAAATTTTTTATTTTTTTTTTCTTAGTACTTGCTAACTGATTTTAGCAAATCACATATCCTATAAGAAGATACAGAGCGGGTGGGCGGGCCTAGTACATGGTAAGATAAAACTAATTTTGACAATTCCCATTCCCTATGAGAAAATAGACTGACTCATTTTATTTACTGTAAAATGTAAATTGAATTCTATTTTAACAAGCGGTACAATCTAAGATTTAAAACAAAGTAAAAAGAAGCCCCTCCCACCCACCCTTATTCCGTTTTCATCATTCACTCTTATTAGCTCTAAAGAAAGAATTTCACCAGTTTTCAATTTTTAATTTCTCACTTTTTGGATTTTTCGGTTTTTCGTTTCTTCAGTTTTTCAATTTGCAATTTTTCAATTTTTCGTTTTTAAATTTTTCAGTTTTTCGACTGTCTACTTTTTGGATATTTCAGTTTTCAGATTTTGCATTTTTTTTATTTGCAGTTTCTCGAGTTTTCAATTTTTAATTTTTAAAATTTTTCATTTCTTCAATTTTTCGATTCGTAATTTTTTAAATTTTAATTTTTTTGGTTAGTACTTACTAAGATAAAACTGATTTTAGCAAATCACATGTCGTGTAAAAAGATAAAGGGCGGGTGGGCGGGCCTAGTACATGCTAAGATAAAACTAATTTTGACAAATCACATACCCTCTAAGAATATATAAGGTGGGTGGGTGGGGCTAGTACTTGCGAAAATAATATTGAATAATATTAAGAGTAGTCACTGGAATAAAGAGGGGATCGGTGGGCGGAGCTACTACTTGCTTATGAAAAAAAAATAAATAAAAAATATAGTTTAATTTTTTTTTCTTCAATTTTTCGAGTTTCAAGCTTAAAATTTTCAATTTTCTAACTTTTGATTTTTTCCATTTTTATATTTTTTAATTTTTCGATTTATTATTTTCGTTATTTTTTCACTTATTCGATTTTTCAGTGTTTCGATTTTATTTTTTGTTTTTGCACTTTTATTTTTTTTAGTTTCTCGTTTCTTCAATTTCTCGATTTGCAGTTTTTCAATTTTTCATTTTTTTTTGTTTTTTCGTTTTTAAGATATGCGATTCTTCGAGTTTTCATATTTAAATTTTTTAGTTTTTCGATTTTCTAATTTTTTGATGTTTCAGTTTTCAGATTTTGCAATTTTTTTATTCGCAATTTTTCGAGTTTTCAATTTTTAATTTATTACTTTTTGGATTTTTTCAATTTTTCGTTTCTTCAATTTTTCGATTTGCAATTTTTCAATTTTTTTTTGTTAATACTTGCTAAGGTAAGATGGATTTTAGCAAATCACAGATCCTCTAAGAAGATAGAGGGCGGATGGGCGGGCCTAGTACACCCACCCTTATTACGTTTCCATCATTCATTCTTATTGGCTCTGAAGAAAGAATTTCACCAGTTTACAATTTTTAATTATTCAGTTTTTGATTTTTCAATTTTAAAATATTAAAATCGAAAGAAACGTGGAAAAAATAGAGGAATAGTAAAAAGGAAAAATTGTGATATGAAACCAAGAGAATGAAAATTAAAAAACCGAGCATATGAAAAACAAAAATTAAGAACTTGAAAAATTGAAAAATCGAAAAATAAAAACGAAAATCTGAAAAATCCAAAAATGAAAAATTGTAAAATGGAAAAATTGAAAAACTGCAAAAGAAAGAAAATGAAGAAATGAAAAATTGTAATATCAAAAATTTAAAATCGACGAAAAGGAAAAACGAAAAATTCTAATATCAAAAAATTGCTCGAAGGGAAATAAATCCAGACTTTTCAAAAAAGTATAACATTTGATTTTGCGAATTTTATTTTTAACTCTAACTAGTTTTCCAGAATCGCGAACTGAAATATCCCAATTTTAAAAAGATTCCAGAAATTCGGATTTCACGCCGAATATTTCGAAAAAATTTCCCCGTGACCCTAAACACGCTATATTTTTGGAATCAGCACGTCAAAATCAATAACCTTGAATATATAAAAATTCTCTCGAAAATTGTTTCGACAGAATTTTCCTTGCTTCGATTTTTTGCTTGAATTTTTCTTTTTTTTCTTCAGTTTTTCGATTTGCAATTTTTCAAGTTTTGAAGTTTAAAATTTTAATTTTCCAACTTTTGATTTTTTCAATTTTTATATTTTGCAAATTTTTGGGTTTCTTATTTTTGTTATTTTTTCACTTATTCGATTTTTCAGTTTTTCGATTTTATGTTTTTCAGTTTCTCGTTTCTTGAATTTTTCGATTTGCAATTTTTCAATTTTTCATTTTTTTTTTGTTAGGGCTGCATTATGTTGACTTGTACCTCATAAACTGGCCCTTTGGGTTTAAGGTCAGTATAGAAAGAATTTGTGCTAGAGTATCAAAGAATACCGAGAAGTGACAGCTTAAAACTGAAGCAAAATGACCCTTAATGTTGATTACGTAACGTTGGATAGGTCAAAAAAAGTCACTGTTTATGTTTAAGCGATATTTATCATATTAAATTTCGTCTTACAAATTCAATGCGAAATTTTCACGGTCAGTTGATTGTTATCATCATTCAACAATTTGTTTCGTATCTTATCTCACGATAAGGTTGAAATCAAAGTTCAATCGCAGGAAAACGCACCCTTGTGCCCAACCCACCACCCCGAGAAATCTTACAGTAACGTCGACTACTTGGTAACGTGGGAAGGCATGGAAAACTGCGTCAAGCAGGGTCTGGCGAAGAGCATCGGCGTATCGAATTTCAACCCACAACAAATCACTCGCTTGCTGGACCACTGCAAAATTAAACCTGTGGTCAACCAGGTGGAGGTCACTCCAAACTGAAACCAAAAAGATCTGATTAAATTTTGTAAAGAACATGAAATTGTAGTCACTGGTTACGCTCTTCTGGGACGCAGCGCCCACCACGGGACCTCCGGTGGTCCAACGCCTACGATGTTGGACCCGAAAATGATACAAATAGGCGAAAAATACAAAAAGAGTGCAGCTCAAGTGGTCTTGAACTATTTGGTAATAATTTGTTAGAAGTTAATTGTTTCACAAAGTGTGCTATTATAGGTTTCTTTGGGGATCGCCGTGGTCCCAAGATCTGTGCACAAGCCGCACATTTGCGAAAATATCAACATTTTTGACTTTACTTTGGCGCCCGCGGACGTCGCCTATTTGGATTCGCTCAACAAGAACCAGAGAGTTGTTACCATGAGCGAGTTTTCCTCGCACCCACCCTACAGTTTTTGATTGTTAATCAAGTTCGTCCCTATTGCAAATAAACAATTGTTCGGGACTGTTTTTCATTTACGCAGACGGAGTCTTTGAACTTTAAATGCACTCTTATTTGTAAAAAGCGTGTTTAATAAAAAATTATCTTCGTCGTAGATAAACATCTGCTATAATATATCTTCAGCCTGACTAATGGAAAAGTGCGCTCGTATTTATCAATAGTCATGAAAAGTGTTAGTGGATTTAAAGTTTTATAGAAACAAATAACAACAATTCTGAGGGTAATTTATAATAATAATCATCGGATTAGTGTCCAGATAAAAAAGTTATCACCTGCTAGTTTTTTTCTAATATCCGTTAAGAAAAATCCAAGATGTATAAGGCGATCCCACTTAACGACGGCTTTTACATTCCTGTTATTGGTTTAGGAACGTACAAAGTAAGCAAATTGTGTATGTTTGAACTGTTATCAAATGGTCTTAAGCTCCCTAACCCAGATGATGTAGAAAATATCGTCAAATTCGCCATAGACGCTGGCTACCGTCACTTCGACTGCGCCTGGATCCACGAAAACGAAGAAGCAGTCGGAAAAGCCATCAAAGCAAAAATCATAGAAAACGTCATCAAGCGAGAAGACCTTTTCATCACGACCAAAGTATGGAACAACTTCCACCGAAGAGAAAAAGTCATGGAGAAGCTGAAACTTAGCTTGAGGGAAATGAAGCTCAATTACGTGGACTTGTACTTAATCCACTGGCCCATCGGGTTCAACGTAAGTTATTTCTGAAGGTTCGAAAAATTAACATTAATAGTGTAGGAGACTTCCAAGACTGTCCCGTTAGGTGACGGCCCGGGGGCCTACAGCGACGTCGACTACATAGAAACGTGGAAAGGGATGGAAGACTGCCTCTCGTGTGGCTTCACCAGGAGCATAGGTCTGGCCAACTTCAACAGCGAACAAATAGATCGCATCCTACGCCACGCTAAGTACAAGCCCGTGATCAACCAGATCGAAGTACACCCAAAATTCAGCCAAAAAAAACTAATACAGTTCTGCA